GTTTTACTTCTTCTTTCCCTATTTGGATTCCTTGTATGCCTTTTTCCTGTCTTATGCTAGCAGTAGCTTTTTAAAATCACCTCGAATAAAAGTTACTTGTTATTTGTTCAACACTATTTACTTGGAAACGATCATTCATTTCTCGAGAATCAGATAGCAGATGTCACCCTACACTTTTATAAAGAAGACATAGTAAAAAGATTCATACTGTAGATTTCTTGTTAGGGGTTTTAGAGCATGTACATAGACATCTGGAGCAGGAGGACATCCGTGATGTCTTTCCTCTTGCTCATTAGTCCAGTCTTAGTGCCTCTTTGAACTGCAGAATAGGCAAGAGAGCAATTATCAGCCCAAAAGTAATTGGATTTTTCAGCTTAATGGTTTTCCTATTTTTTGGCGGCACACATTGCACATATATTTTTATCATTTTAATAGAACACTGGTCTGTATTCCAGTAAGAAGAGATGAACTTTGTTCCATGCAAGTCATGAGTGGAATATTTTTCATTTCTCCTTGGGGGGGGGGGGAAGCTTGTTTAAAACCAGCCATTACAGAAAAGGAGATCAAAATTTGGGATAACACAATTCAAAGGAAATCAACATATATGCATTTCTACTTTAATGTCATATGTCTGAAAAGCTGCATTCTGCAAAATTTGCAGTAAGCAAGAGTACTGGTAGTGTAGAGGACAAGCTATTTAAAAATCTTCTGAACTATAGTCATACTCTAACAAAAACATTTAATAGGACCTGGAAAGGTAATGTGGTTCCAGTCACAAGTGGCTTTCAGGTGACCAGAAATTCCCCTGTGAGCATTAGGAATGAGACAGGCTGTATGCTGACAGCCCTCAGCATAAGAGGCAGCAATGTGAGCAACTCTTCCTCTCTGGGAAAGGCCTGTACAAGTGTTCATGTTTAATTTTCTTATGATACAGCTGTAAGAGTTCTTGCTACTAGTGTGACATCAAAGCTGAGTTTTATTTTTTTCCCTGCTGAAAGTTACTTTTACTACTCTCCTCCCCTTGCCTAAGGAAAAAAAAATAAATTTGCATCATTTCTAAATAGACAGTGTGAGCCTCTGATAGATGAATGGACACTCAATTAAAATAACTTTTCCTGATTATAATGTATTTGTAGCATGCACATTCTTCTACTTTATTAAATAGCTGTCCAAAATTTGAATCATAAATTATTTAAGAAAATCTTTGTGTTTAGAAAGTAAGGTTGTCATATAGTAGTAATAAATACATAAACAGCCAATTAGCTGTATCTTTGATCAATTCCTTAGGCTAAATTGCCAAGGAGGATATTACTAGGTACCCTTCTCCATTAGTGCTGCTACAACAAAAATACCATGGACAAGATGGCTTAAGTAATAAACATGTATTTCTCATAACTCTGGATCCTGAGATGTTCAAGATCAAGGCACCAATAAACCAAGAACTCACTTCATGGTTCATAAATCGCTGCCTTCTCCCTGTGTCCTTACATGGTGAAAGGGTGGAGGGAGCTCTCTAGAGTCTCTTTTACAAGAGCACTAATGGTATCCATCAGGTTTCCACCCTCATGACCTAATCACTTACCAAAGTCTCCACCCCCGAATGCCATCACAGGGGATACTCACTGTCAGCATATGAATTGGGGGTGGGGATACAAACGTCATTTTATAGCACTGGGCACACAGGCACAAATACTCCTTTTCAAAAGAAATGTGATAGCAAACTTTTATTTTTGTGTTTTTTTCAACCCAAGGACCTTAATTTAAGAGGAAATAAAGCTGACAATCAACTTGATATTATGGTCCTTCTTTGTTAAGGGCACACATAGTTTATAAAAATGTTAATGCATTGGTAAGTCTCTTGCTCACAGTTGTGAACACCTATGTGGTACATGTCTCCCTTAAGGATTCTGGATTATCAAAACATTGGTGTATCTATGTCATATGTGCAGGCTAAATCAAGTGCCAAGAAAACTGATGTCTTTCTTTCCCTTCAACTCCGTCATTCTCCTATGTATTTGCCACTCTTGTCCTATTCTGCCCCCAGGTCTTCTCCTTCACTATCCCTTGGCCTCAGTATTGAGTCCACTTTAGTATTGACTCCACTTTAAAGTTAATACTAACCTGTCCCCAGTTGAAGACACTCTGTTATATCACAAGCTCCTTTGGCACTTTGGGAGAGGGGAAAATCACTGGCTCCTGGAAGCTGTTGCTCTGATCCCACTCTGAGGTGCTTTGTGCACTGATACACATAGGCTCTGGGCATAGAAATGTCCATCTGAGTCTCAGCTCCACTTCCTGTGTGTGTAGTTTGCAGCAGCAGTTGGGTATACTTGACTGCTCTTGCTTGGTTTAAAAAAGTAATGCGGTCCTCCCTGGTGGCGCAGCGGGTTAAAGCACAGCACTAAGAAGCTAAAGCCACTTCCGCATGAGTTCGATTCCCGCCTGCCCCAGAGGTGACCACATGGCATGGCAGACCTCTCCTGACCCGCCCGCTGCTCCCCTCAGCAGTGTACTTAATGGATCTGCCTGTTCTGCTCCCCGCTCTGTCTCTGGTGAATCCTCTCACCCTACGCGTCTCTGGCCTGTACCCCAGTTCTGTATGAATAAATAAATAAATCTTTAAAAAAAAAAGTAATGCATAGCATAATTTCTTTTGTAATAGTCAATGCAGAGACAGTTTGTTAGGGTTACTTCTCAAATGAACTAAAATAAACTAACATTCACTCCAGAGGACTGTTTCTTTGAGTTTCTAAGTTAAAAGAATGAGAGTTCTGAAGAAAATGATTCTGTCAAATCTTTGGATATTGTGGGGAAAACAAGGGAGTCCAATAAATCAGAGGGATATGTCTATATTAAAGATCATTCCAGAAAATGTCAAGCCAGTTTCATAGGAGACATCTTTGGAGACAAGAAAGGCTACTTCCAGTTCTTTGATTTTTTTTTTTTTTTTAATGAACACTAACTCAGAAACTGATTTTTCTCCCTCTTTCTTTAGCCTGCGTATGTCCCAAGGAAGATAATCCCAGTAACAATTATCAAGCAAGGTAATTCATCTTGAGTCTGCTCTGGAAAAATATAGAGAACCATTTTAAATATAATTTTAAAATGCACTTTTTACTGAAGTAATTAAACATAGCATATACTTGTTTTTCAGAAAAGTTCTAGAGAAATTAGTCTATCACATTAGAAGTTAATACTGTATATAATTTTAGCTCTTGTATCAATAGACCACGCCTTTGACAAGTCACATTAGATGGACAATTAGTGACAAAACAACCATAACAAGAATTAAATCAAGTTAAAACATGTGCCTTTGCTAAGGATTAAATTAGCCTACATGAAGAAACTCATTAATATTTGGGTTATTGGGTTATTGAACAAAGAACTGATTTATTGGCTACTTTAGGGAAAGTTAGAGATTTAGGTTTCTGTGCCCAGGTTTGATTTACAGTTACTCAATTTATTAAAACTACTTCATTATTACCAGAAGATTTCTTGATAGATGGGATTAGACATTAAAATATTTATTTTAAGAAAACACAATACCTCAAATATACTCTCAAAACAGGGTCAGATAATAGAATTACTCGGAGATCCTTGCTGGATAATTGTCTCACCTTATGCTAGTTCTTTGATTTGGGTAGGCTGTAGGGAGTAAAGTTGAAGAAAATTTTCAAGCTCATTAGAACGGAACACTTTAGAGGAATAGACTTCCATTACTTAACGGTGTTAATGGAAGAAGTGCCTTCTGGTGCTTTTGTTGGCTGTGTAGTCAGCTAGATGAATTGCTTTCTGTTAGTAAAGTTAGAACAGGGTTTCCCTTCACATTATTAGCTTCTTTCGGCTTCCTGTTTCTTTCAACAACTATTGTGGTTTCTTTTATTTCAACAGTGATTCAGAATGTCACTCACAGGGCTTCAACTAAATCCCCAGATAAGATTCCCGTTGGAGGAACAATCCTAGGTGAGTATCTTCAAATTTTATACCTAGGTTAAGAAAATAGGATGTTTTTATCATAGAACCCTTATGAAATTTTGTACTGTAAGCAGATTTGTTAAATTGGTATTGGTTCATTTCCTTTCAGTGCTTAGCATCCTGGCCTGTCATTTCTGGCTAGAAGAGGACAGATGCTACTTCTGTCATGGTGTACGAGGAAACAGTCCTGCTGGTGGGAAGGGAGCCCATCCTAGCCCCACAGCATTACTGGAGTTAGGAGAGACTTTCTCTTATTGAACTGCTCTTTTGAAATGATTATTAATAATAATGGGGTTTGGTTTGTTTTTTTTGTTTGTTTACCATACATCTTAAGTAGACATTTTGCAATTTTCAAATCTTTAGATCAGAAGCCAGGGGATTTTAGTAGTTCAGTTCTGAATAGAAGCAGATTCTGTTTAAAAGGTAAAGTAAATTTTCCTCAATATTTTTAAGTGTAGGTTAAAATTAACTAAACAAACCAAGTGCTAAGCTTAATGTTTCTGGTATCCGATGCTCTTTGCTTTATTTTGTATCATGAAAAATTTTCTCCTATTGGTTCCTTTTTTCTTGCAGTTCACCTCATTATTCCAGGTCTAAATGAAACCACCATAAAACTTCCCACATCCATGATGTTTGATATTTCAGATGCAATTAAGACACCATTAGGTAAGCAGCAAAAGTTCTGCATTTGAACATGGTGAAGACTGAGTACTAGCACTGATCTACTTAGGGTAGCTGAAGAGTCTTGCAAATGAGCTTCTTGGAGATCACAAAGTAATGAGAAGCAGGGATATACACTGTTGATGTACAATGTACAGCCCTGTGGAACACAGTATGCTAATTATTCAAAAAATGAAAAATAGAATTACTAGTCCCACAAGTAGAATTTCCAGAAGCAGTTCCACTAATGGATATATATTGAAAGCTGGAAATTGAAGAGATATTTGTACACCCATGTTCATAGCATTATTCACAATAGCTAATACATGGAAGCAATCTAAGTGCCCACTAACAGATGGGTAGATATGCAAAATGGGATATGCACAGATGATGGAATATTGTTCAATCTTAAAAGGGAAGGAAATTCTGACAAATGCTGCAATATTGATGATCCATGGGGACATTATGATAAATGAAAAGTCAGTCACAAAAAGATACAGTATGTTCCCACTTAATGAAGTAATTAGTTTCATCAAATTCATAGAGAAAGTAGGATGGTGCATGCCAGGGACTGGAATGAGAGGGTCATACATTGCTGTTCAGTTACTTACTGCAAGTTTCATTTTTATACTATTGTGAAGAGTTTTGGAAATGGATGATGATGGCTGCACAGCATCATGAATTTGTTTAATACCACTGTACACTAAAAATGTGAATGTTATGCAGTATAGATTTATCATAACCCATAAGGGGCAGGGATATTGGAGAGTGGAGTTATTCATATGAATCATTCTATAGGAAAACACATTAATATAAAATATATTTATAAAGAGTGAACAGATGCCAAGTTATACAAAATATGCACATTGATGATTGTGATTTTTCAAATACAGTAACAGTTCTAAATTATACTTACTACATTAATATATCAAGGGGCCATTATGTATTTTCCATGAAAATTGATGTAAAAATTCTGTTAGAATTATGTACTTGAGAATGTTACTATTTCTTCCTTCTAGAAAGAACATAATATGATTTTAGGGTTTAAAAAATATAAAAGATAGCAATTTGAAAAAAATAAGTGGAATATGTTAACTACATTTGGGTGTCAAATTAGGCTGTGATTTATTTCTACAGCAAAGTATCTCAAATTTGATTTAGCACTGGGAGCCCTGGAGGGCTTGTGAACAACAGACTTGCAGGCCTGTTGCCCCCATAGTGATTAAGTAGGTCTGGGATGGTGCCTGCGACTTCAAATTTTTGCTAGTTCCCAGGTGATGACTGATGCTACTACTCCTCACAAGTCCCTGGACTACAAAGGTAGAAGTAAGCATAGTGGGGTTGAAATTGAACAAGACTTGTAAGTGCAGAATCCTCTCCCTGCACTAGACACTTGCTGTGAACTTTAGTGCTATGTCATGGAACCCCCACATTATAGATGCTGACACAGAGACCCAGGCAGCGTTCATTCAGCAGCTGCATAGTAAGTGTTACTCAGAGCTGGGATTGCAAGGTGCAGGGGGCTATAGCGCTGGTCTGGACAGGCATGGCGCCTGCCCCACGGACTTCTCACACATGGTTATGCCTTGTGGCCTGACCTGTCCCTTTCAGCGGATGCTCACTCTTGTAGGAGGAAGGGAGAGAAGTAACAAATGACAGCGAGGCTGTCCAGGACCTCTGTGCTCTAGAGGACACTCACCCTTGGGAAGCTTCCTTGTCTGTTGATGTTGCTGACAAGGAGCTTCAAGGTTACCACATTTTGATGTGTCCTTTCTTCCAGTTGTTCTTTGAGGTGTGGGGATATGTGGAGATATTTAGGAGTTCTAGCGACATGATGCCAATCAACAAATGGATAGAAGAGCGCTTAACTGGTAGACAATTAGACTTAAAGTTTTAGGAAAAAAATTCAAGACATACTCAATATATTTCTGTGATTTGGGGCCCTTTTTAAATTTCCAATATAAGATAGTCATACCTGTTAGTCCTGTAGTGAGTTACTCTAAGAACCTGGAAAAGGCTAGGTTCCATTGTCTTAATCTGTACATCAGATTTGATCACACCTCCCTTTTAGTTGTGACTCAGTTCTACTTCCTTTAAACGTTGTGCTGGGAGGAGGCTACCAAACTAAATTCCTTCAGTGAACTGAGGTTGGGATCAGAGCTGAAGACTCTAACAACCCCTTATTTTTGTCCCCAGAGCCTAGATGCTCTCTTTATCCTGTTCAGAAAGAGAAAAAGAAAGAAAAAAGGAATCTCTTACACCATGTTTTGGTCCCAAATCTATCTGTCAGAATTACAAAAACCAGGGTTTATGAAGGACACTAAAAATCGAGCAGTTTTTCTCAGAATAGTGCTGTCAGTTTGGAACTGGAATTTGTTTTGTTGCTTTGTTCTAACTCTTGAATGGTGTTTCTGATATGTCGTGATTTTGCAAAATTCCTGATGCTACATTAATACTAATTCAGCCTTTTTATCTTTAATGTAGAGAATTGAGCAGTAAATTATTTTGCTTTTGCTTTGGTCTTTTGATATTTACTAACGCTTCAGGATGGGATGGGACTTTAATGAAGAAAAATTAAAAGGAAAAGCAAACATCCTGTTATTTCTAAGGAAACATATCATAAGGTTCTTATGCATGGAAAAGATTGATAGTATGTTTAAATATGTTCATTAAATTCAGTTAAATCCTACACACCAATGTACCATCTTCAAATACTATTTATAAAATCACATTTTAAATTTACTGTTTTTATAAGTGTGAGCATAAATGATTCTTTATACTACCATGTTAGAAATAAATTTTCCTGAAGTTATTTAAACTGCAGTCTGGAGAAGTTCCATTTCTTATGTGGGTAATTCCTAAGAATAATACCCCCATTCTAGCAGGGCCTATCAGACCAGTAAATTAATAGTTTTTGTTCACTTGGTGTGAATAATGAGAGAAGTAAACAAGAAAGCTAGTATTCCACACACTTCTCCCGAGAACATAGAGTTTACAAGGCCAAGTCTAACCCTGCCAAAACTTGAAGGAAACAACTGTGTTGAAAAATATATATATACAGAAGAATGAGAGAAAAGGGAATTGGGAAGGGGTGGGGGGGGTTTGATCTATAATTTGATGGCATTTTCTTTTGTTATTACCAAGATTGCAGTTGAATGTGTACAGTGTAAGTGAATATCCATGGGGTGATATGAGACTGAAAAGGTTCCCCATTCAAATAAATTTCCCATCTACCAATTTCTCTGACACCCAAAGTGCCATATCGAGAACTATGCCTTTATAAAGAATTAGTGATGTATAAATAATATAACTATCTATTGGAAGATAGTTTACCATTTTTTTCTTCATTGGCAGCCTTATTTAAGGTTATCATGATTGTTAGCATGATTAAACATAAGGGACTAAAGCAAAGCCTAAAAGTCTTAAGATCTGAGGGTAAAAAAAGTAAGAGCCTGGTCAGTCAGGAAACTAGTGTTATTAGTTAGGCAAAGAAGAGCGATTGGTAGGGTATACTGAAAGAGATAGCAATGCTGAAAAAGAAACATTAAAAGACACCTGTATAATGTTCCACTTAACAACAATAACAAAAACTTCCTCTATCACATGTAATAACAGGACCAGAGCTCATGAATATTTGCAGTTTGAGTTCTTCCATTCAAAATTTTTTAAAATAGAAGTTATAAAGTAATACTAGGTGTATTTTTTTAGTTATCGGAGCCCCTTATCTTTATGGTCTGTTCAGTTAATTTGAACAATAGCACTAAGCATTTCTGTTGTGTGAATATGTAGTATAACTTCATGTGCGCATGAATTCAAATATACATGCTTTACTATTAGTGGCACATACACTAGCCCTGAGACACAATTTCTAGCTTTAAAAAAATACTCCTGATGGGGATTACAACTGAGATGGAAAAATGTACAAAATGGTGTAAAAATAAACTATTAGATTATTTTAAAAATATTCCTGAAAATAATTAGTTCTATATGGCAATCGATTGTATATTGTCATAATACAGATTAAAAACTGATTTGTTCTTATCAACATTGGAAAAGGATGCCTTTTATCATTATCTTTAGGTCTCCTGCATGGGAATATTTTGTGCCCTCAATAACAAAAAACAATAGCCTTTATAACAGTGATGTGCACTGTCAAAGAGGTTAAACAATCTGTACCCTCAAATAACTTCATGAGGCCAGCTTCAATCACTAGTTCTCTACAGTTAAGTCTTGTCCCTTGGCATACTTGATGATGTCTACAGACATTTTGATTGTCACAGCTATGGAAATGTTAGAAGAATACACTGGACCAGATTCTACTAAACATCCACAACACATTAACATAGGCCCTCAACAAAGATTTATACAGCCTGAAATGTCAGTAAATACCAAAAGTGAGAAACCCAAGTTTTGTATAGCCTTAGGATTCATAAAAGAAAAAAATCCTAACTGAATATATAGGTGACATGATCAAGGAATCTTAAACATGAATGAATGCTTTCATGCCACAGACTGTTTCAACATACTAAACTAAGTCATTGACTTAATGGGCTAAATAAGTATTAGTTAATTTCTACTTGTATTTTTTTAATGGGAACATTTTACTCTTGAGAAACTCTGGCACAGAAATGAGCTTTCTTTGTAAAAGAATACTTAAATTTTAGGAGTATGTTTTTGGAATAGTTGTCTGAAGAAAAAAAAAATCCCCCCCAATTTGACTTTATTTTTGGCATTGAAGTCTCACAGAGACCAAGAAGAAAAGGTTATATTAACATAGATGTGATTGAAATAAATATTGGAATATTTTTTTTTTGCCAAAACATTTTCAAATACTTAATATTACATGTGTGTTGTTTATGATTTTCTGAAATTTCAAAGTTTTAACCTATTATATTTTTAGCATACATATGAGAAATTTCTATTTTTTTATGTTGTAAATTTTTTTTTCAAAAGTTTATTTTTACATCATTTTGTACATTTTTTTTTCCATCTCAATTGTAATCCCCATGAGAAATTTCTATTTTTTAATAGGAGTTCTTGAATATAAAATTCCAGGGATTATTCTCACTATAGTCTATGACTTACCAGACTGTTTATTAATCAGAGTAACTTGAGATTTATCCGGTGTTGGGTTGTGATTTTTGTTTTCATTCCAATGCCAAATTCTACTTAAAGAATTATCTTGAGATAATAAGTAATTCTGAAGATAGCCATTGCCTCATTCTAATTCTTGATAGAAAATCACAATCAATTTGTGAACTGACTAGGATTAAGGGGTAAGAACAGAATGGATTTGTTGAAATAGACTATTACTTGATTATGTTTTGAATGAATTGTTTTTGGACATCATATTATGAGGAAGTGAGGTAACTTGTTTGTTTTCTGGATATTTTAGCTAAGAATGAAACCTTGGCATTGCCTGCTGAATCTAAAACACCAGAAGTAGAAAAAATCCCAGCCCAGCCCTTAACAGGTAATGAGATCCCTATGTTGTTGACTCTGAATGAATCAAAATATTATTTTGACTGGTAAATGAACATCAAACCTATACATTCTTTTCCCAGTGAAGAACTAGTAGGTAATTGATTGCAATTGTAAGCACAGAGTGACAAGAGATTCTACTTTCTCAATCTGTTATTTATATTAGGCAAAAAATGCAAACGGACATATATAACTGATTATGTAAAGTGGAAACTATTTTTCACTGTATTTTCACTGTGACTTGAAGTTGTTACCTTAACATTCTGAAATAATCCTTACACTAAAATATAACACCATGATTTTGTTGCTTTTCTTTTATATGAAAACATGAGACCATTTTTCATTTTATCACTCTCCCAAGAAGTTATTTTAGCAAAATTCTATTATCCCTTGCAGATCCATAGTTTGAATTCTGTGAGAGTACCCTGAAATCATTTAGTAACCAATGCCTCTGGAAGAGTAATAATCCTAGTGTAGAGACTATATATTAGTTCAGAATACTGATTTGTTCCTTAAAAAATGTGGTATGTATTTTACCCATAGTTTATCAGCCGTTACTAACAAACATTTAACATTTCCTCTCTAAGTGATCTGCCTAAGTCCTGCACACTGGGGACACATTATTCTCTGAACTACAGTTTTTGCCAGAGCAATACCACTTCATCCAGGACTTGGTGAAACAGACTCTGGCAAGAATTCTCCAAATCCACAGTTAGCAAAGTAACTCTAAAGTGAATTTTTAGCTCATGAAACTCATAAATTGAAAATGTGTGCTATTTATTTTGCACTAACTTTACCTTGTACTAAGTAGTCTTAGACTCATAACTAGTGCATAGAAGATACAGATTGTTGAGGAAATACAGTAACTTGATTTCAAGAAACCTGTGAAAAATGAGAATATTGCAGACAGAAAGAAGAGAAATAGATCCTTTCCTTACCTTTATGGGGGTAGGGGTAGAGATAGTGACTATTCAAGGCAAATGGAATCAAACACAATTGATCAAAAAAGAACAGCATGGCATGACCCAATGGTTGACTCCAAGTTCTCTCCTGTCCCAAGAATTCTACACATTTTTCCCAATTATACTTTCTCCTCTTGGCACAGTACCTGATGGGAGTGTCTACAGACTTCTTAAGTTCCGTGTAAATTTTGCCTCAGATTTTCCTCTTTAGAAACAGCTGGGCAAAAAAAAAAAAAATTAGCATATTTTTAAGTGTTACTGTTTTTACTTAATGCCCTTACCCTGAAAAATTCTGGAATTGTCTCACACTATTCATTCCAGATCTCAATGATCCTGGTACTTATTTCTCAAAAACTTTTCCTGAGATTTTCTTTGCCTTTGATCTGGTACTTGGGAGCAATCCTATGGCTGAACATTGAATCTGTAGTTTCAACCCAATTTGGAATTTTATATATTGACTACAGTTTGAAAGTAAGAACTCTTACAATGTAATAATTTTAACTAAACCTTTTAGCCTGGGGTCATTTTTTATTTACCCATTAATTTACTTAATAATTATCAGGTGTATATATAGACACTGTGATATAAAGAAAAGAAAAATGAAAAAGGCAGACAAAAAAATGATGCTTGATCTGATAAGTGCTTTCATGGAGGTCAGTTAAGAATACTTTCTGGAACACATGGAAGGAGACCAACTCCAGAAGGGAAGAGTTGGGAGAAATGTCAGCTCAGGCAACTGAAGAAAGTGAGAGCAAGGATCCTTGAATAAGTAACTCAAGTAATCCTTAACTAACTTAAAAGAAATGGGTTATGTCAATATAAATTATAACTCTAAAGGCAACAGAAGTGTCTTTTTGGTCTTTAGTTGCTCTGTCATTTTATCTTAATTTGTAAAACTGTGTTTTCTACCTTCCAGTGACTCCTGAATCAGTTCCAAGAACTATTAAACCCACTGTGTCTAGTTCCCTAGATACTTCAGAAACAGCACTGGGTAATTCTGAGAACTTTGTCTTTAAAAAAAAAAAAAAAACTTAATACTCACAAAAGGTAACCCCAATGACTTACTACATTGCTCACAACCTTACTGATAGTATTTAACCTTCCTATTTCTTTCTTTCTTTTTTCTTTGCATGTTAGGATCACATTTTATTTTTTATATATTTTACATCATTCTTTGTTTTTTTTGTGCAATGTATGTTTCCTCCTCTCTGGTGTAGTCCCCATAAAATTCCCACCACCAGTTCATCCGTGCACCATCACCATAGTCCCTTGTGTTCTTCCCTACCCTGTTTTGATCCCTTTTCCTCCCCCTCCCCTGCAGAATGTCTCTGATTTATAGTTTGTTAATTTTTTTTAAATTATTTTTTTCTGATCCGTTATTTGGTTATCCTACACTCCTCCTATAAATTCCATTGAAGAGTTAACAACATACCTTTATGCTGGTGACTGATATTCTAGGCAGTTCTGGTTGCTGAATGGACACCCTTTTTTATCAGTCTCTTGATAAAGGAGGACAGACAGAGAAACAGAATTGCCAGCTTAATAACCCACAAAGCTTGAGGGCAGGAACAGTAGACCAAGAGTCCTGGCTGTGCTTTCTGTGTAGATGAGATTTTCCAAGTTTTATGCATATTAACCTTGAGGAAAATCCCTTGAAATATAATGCTTTTTAGCACAGATTTTGTGTCATGCATGTTAGCTGCTTCTTGACCACAGATCTAACTTGACTTGTTCTTTTCTGGAGAAGAGAAAAAGCGGCATATCATTTGTTCGGTACCTGTGATGTTGTTCTGCCACAACTCTGAGGATATGCTTTCAAGTTTTAATAGCTGTGACTTTGCCAGGAAAAAACAAGTATTCCCATGACAGGCTGGCACACACTTGTTTATAAGCATGCATCCCAGATCACAGTTAGGCCACAGCACCAAAATCTGACTCACAGAGTTGCTAACTGAATTCTTCTGTATTGCAGTTCTTGATGAAAGGACCCCAGAAACACTGCAAACTATTCTAATACCTAAGTTTGAATTGCTGCTGAGCACTCAAGGTAAAAATTATTAAATACTGCAGATTATTATTACCTTGAAATTTTTTTTAAATATTTATCCATTTGTGCACACAGAACTGGGGTGCAGGTCTGAGACTCAGGGGCAGCGAAAGACTTCACCAGAGACAGAGTGGGGAGCAGAACAGGCAGATCAACAAAGCACACTGCTGAGGGGAGCAGCGGGCGGGTCAGGAGAGGTCTGCCATGCCATGTCGTCACCTCTGGGACAGGCGGGAATCGAACTCATGCTGAAGTGGCTTCAGCCTTCCAGTGCAGTGCCTTAACCCGCTGTGCCACCAGGGAGGGCCACCTTGAAATTTTTATGCATGCTTAGATAAAGGTCTTGGGCTAATTTATTTAAATTTATCTCTTCACAGGAATGAGTGACCATGTAATTTATGGAACAATTTCCATAATACCCTACCTCTTACATATGTTATTAAATCTTTATTTTATAGTTTAGGTTCCTAAAAGGCTTTGTGTGAAATCCTTTGCTTTTTTTTTTGGTGGTAATATTTTGACTTTATATTTATTCTTTTAAGTTAAAATCATTGTATTATTTCTCTTCGTAGAGAAGATATATATTTTTTCTGCATAATGCTTCTTATAATTTTTACGATTTGTTTATGAGTGCATTACCAAAAAGTGGGGTGGGTAAGCATAAATATAAAATCATTGTAAAAATCATTGTATGTATATATATGTGTGTATATATATACATATATATGTACACACACACACACATTATTCTTCATTTTGTATGTTCTTTTTCCAGCCAGTTGTAATTCCCATGGAAAATTCCAAAATTCTGTATTTTGAAGTTATTAAATGGATATTTTCCAGGTCAGATATGGTTGGTGCTCAATCTGAGTTTAAGTGAAGTAGATCTACACATATACTTAACTAAGAAGATAAGGGAGGTAACTCACTCTGAATGAAAAGAAGCTCCCCATCACTCCAATTTAATGAATATATAAAATAGTCATTAGGAAAGATCCTAACATTTTTTGTATGTTTCATTACAGCTCCAAAGAGATTTCCAGAATTTCCTCAGGCAAAGACACCCTTCCCTTTTGAGAAACCTGAGGGCGCTTTGGGTAATAACAGCACCTTCTGTCTGGTATTGATGTGGGTAGTGGTTGCTTGTTTCTGGGGGACACCTGGTCTGATGAATTTCAGTGAACTGATGCATTTCATCAGTTCAGCCAAATGAGGCTTTTATTTTTTAAAAAGTCTGATTGGATTTTCTACAAGTTAAGTAAAAATCATTAGTAATTCCAGATCATCTATTTAGTCTCCTGTCCTTAAAATTATTAGGGATGTGACATCTACCAGGTCTCTTTCTAGTCTCTCATCAAATGTTCCCTGGAATGGGTTCTATTGATTTCTTCTAATAGAGAATGACTTTCGATTGGATGAGGACGTGTTTTATTACAGGCTCTGATAGCCGCCTCAAAATACCAGTGACCTATTTATTTCTCTATCCCAACAAACAAAAACACTTCAATGAATTCCATTTCTGTTTCACTGTAGCTTCAAGTGACAAGCCTTGGACTGTGTCTACAGCTAAAACATCTGAAGATTTTGAAGTTCTACCACCTGAAACTGGTAATTCTTTAAAAACTGATTGGAACAAAAGGACTAACTTAACTGGTTTTTATTTGTATAGGTTCCTTGATTACCAGTATACCTTGTAGTAAATGGAAAGTATCTTTGATACTTAGATGAATCTTATCATCTTCCCAAAGCAAAAACAAAATGGTTTTGCATTTGTTTTAAAGATCTGTTTCGCTTTCTGGATATGTAATTAGAAGTCTGGCTAGGAAATGAACTATGAATTGTCTTAACTTCATTTTCTAGGGTTCTTTAGTGACAAGAATAGTAACGAAAGCAGCAATAGCATGCATCTGATTTAACAGTATGCATTTAATATTTCCCTTGCAGTTATTTCTTTTGTAGCAAAACATTCTTGGGACATTTGAGTGCTTACAGTGTGCAATATACTACCAAGGCCTAAAATCTTTGAACATATTTTGCTGTAGAAGATAGGTCAAAGGTCTTGAGATTAATGAACCTGTGTTCTCATTCTGGTGTTTCCACCAACCATATGCTTTTTAACTGTTATTTTCTGTTTCTGGGTCTCAGTTTGTATACTGTGATATTTGGCTCTTTCTCCTGAGATTTCTTGTTGCATTTGCCTTCATATACTGTAGCTACCACCATTAAAACTGATGTATTTTCTTTTTTCAAAAAATAATTTTTCAGTTAATTTTCCCCCCGAATGTCTTTCCTTTGATGTTTAGTCATCAGAGAAAAAATATTCGGCATATAAGAATTATTTAAAAATCTGAGAATCGTTTTTTTTGTCATGACAACCATGATTTTTCATTTTACCTCTTTGTATTTACATGTTTATAAATTTCCTAGCTGTGGTTTTTTAAAAAGTAAATGTAATAAATAAAATAGGTAGAAATTTACATACTGAAGCTAAACACTCTTGACATTTTGTGACATTCTCCAGTGAAGAGACCAGCAGAGGACTGGTTGGAGGAAGGGTCAAAGATCCCTCAGACACAGATATGAAATGATTCTATTTCTAACAGTTAAAGTAGGCTCAGATCTTAACAAAAAATACAAGAATGACATTAAATTGGTGAACATGTATACTGTGATCTCCCGTAGTTTTCTGAAGTGTGAAAACACTTGAAAGTTAACCATGATTGTTAGCCAAATAGGGGAAAGTCTCAAACTGCAACTTTCTGTCCCCAGTCACTGAAACTAACACAGTTATCAAATATGGATGCAAAATCATCTTTCATAATTTTGGTCATTTTTGTATAAATTCCAGGTGCTGGATGGTTTCTGAAAACTGACCCTCTGGTTCCATTAGCTGCCACTCTTACTTTTCTGTAGCTGTGGAACAAGTGACCTTGGGACAAATGTGATATGGTGGTTATCTTCTGCCTTGTGACAGGCCTGCCCATCCTCCATAAGCAATTCATCCCCCAAAGCAAACACTTTTAAGGACCCTGGACTAGATGAACTCATTGCTCCGTTTTATCTCTTAGCTTTTGGGTTATAATGTAGGAGATAAGTTTTCTCTTAAACAGTTCTAGTTTGGTTTCTGTGACCATTTAAGAGCAAACTGAGTAAAACCTCATGCAAACCATTTATGAAATTGTAAAACATAGGCTGTGAATAATACAGAAGGCCTGAATTGAACGTTGGGGAGTGGGAATATTATGTGGGGCAGTGATGGTAGTAGAATTAACAGAGAGACAAAACAATGAGATGGGACATTCCAATAAAGGAAAGGTTTCATTAGCCTGTAACTCCAGGTCAGGAATGTTCTGGTTTTGCTCTGATGGAGTGTGAATAGTGGCTAGCGCAGCAGGAAGCAGTCTCATTATTCAGCTGCCACATCACTGCCAGGGCAACCTGAGGCAGCCGGAAAACTTCCAGCTGTGGACTGCCTGGCTTATATTCAAACAGTAAGGTTTATTTGCTGCTTTTGACAATGGGGAACGCAGACCTTAAGGAACTGTGGAATCTCTCAGTAAGTTGGTTTTGGAAAGGATGTATTGTAGCATTTGGTGTTATAATAGATGATTTGTGGGAGGTTCCATAGAAATAAAACTTTGCCCCAAGGTTGAATGCTGTCAGAAAGTAGGACTAATTCTGTTATTGTAAATCATTATAATTCTTAACTAGAAAGCAGGAACAGTGAAGCTAAAGCTGTGATCAGTGAAGAAGCAGTTGTTAGTCTTATTAGGAAGAATGTAGGTATAGTAATTGTTGTGTTCATGTGTTTAGCTACCTTCCATTCAATTACAGAATGTTCTTGTTTTATCCTGGTCACTGGCTAGTCCTGACAGATAATGGTACTTTTTAAAATTGCTGATGTTTATCGTAGAGCACCACAGCCTAGCAGGGTGACATGTCAGATCCTGTATGGCACAAGTTGTTTTTATCTACAACCACGAAATGTTATTTGTCAATACCTTATTGTTATTCTGCTTCAGCAATTGCTAAATTTGTTTTCCACATTTTTTTTGTATTCTGTATCAAAATATAGAATGTTTGCTCTAGAAAATATTTCTGTACCACTTTTACATATAAAAATTATATGATTATAAAAGATTATGTTATTTTCTCACTTTAATGTTGAGTACTGAAATTACCAAGTCATTGCCTACTTATGGCAAAAGTAGGATCCAGGTTATTTGGAGTTTGGAATAGCTTAGGAAATCTGAGCAGAGCAGCCTTCAAACAATTTCTCCCCAACTTTGTGTCTCTTTGTCCTACTCATTTCTACTACATTTTTTGATCTCATTATTTGGATTGTATTCATTAAACTTTCTCTAGAGTAAGATAAGTTGGCTTTGACTCCCTTGGCAATTTCAGTTTTCCTTTAAGTGTAGAAAGGAAATTATAAAACCTTTATCCATGATTATGTACCAAAGTGTAAATTTATTTATAAATTCTATATTAAAAGAAAGTTGGTCATTTTAAAAACACTTGTGACACAATCAGGAAAAAATCCACCTTTCTGATCATACAGTAGAACTAGTCATTGGAAGGTGGTCAGATGACTGACCTGTGTTAGAGTGAGAACCAGTGAAGTCTCAGTCCCCCAGTCCATGAATTGCACATCTGCTTGCCTGATACATGTGCACTTGTGGGACTACCACTTCATTGTGATAATAGAATTCTGTATTTGCAGAGCAGTTTTCTATTAAGTGACTTTCAAAGGTTTTTATATACATGAGCCTTGTGATCCTCCAGTTGTTCCTAGAAGCAGAGAATTTAATCACCTTTTATTTTAAGAGAGTATTTGAGAGACTGGCCTCTGAATCAGTAGAGGACCAAAACTGGATCACTCAATCATTTCTTTCTAATCATTTCTCCAGTCAAGGACTCCAAGTTAAAAATGAAGAGTTCCATAACCAAGTAAGTTAAGCATTCTCCTGGGGTCAGATGACTTTATATTTTTAAGAATCACACACGGTCTGTGAGGACTGGCCACTGCTAAGTGCCTGAAGTTAGACTCTGTGTGAATGTGATTGCTACTCTGAGTTCAGAGTGAGAGACAGCTGGTAACCAGCTCATCCCTTTACCAGTTTTGTGGCTGTTGATAAGTGATTTTAGCTTCTCCAAGCCTCTGTTTCAACATTTATAAAATAGAAATAATGTTCTCATTAGGTTATTCCTTAAAAATAATGTACAGACCTCTAAGCCTTTTCACAATGAGTAGCAAAAGTACCCAGTTATCATTTCCTTACTATTCTGAACTCATGTATTGAATGCATCCCCTTCACACCACACTGCTTGTCACAAACTTCCTGAGAGGCTGTTGACACTCATTAGTAACAGCAGCAAAAAAATTTAATACAAAAAAAGGCAAAAACAAAAAACAAAAACAAAAAAACCCTCTAACCTCATGTGTTTGTGTGCCCATGTGTGTTTGTATGCACACACACCAAGTGATCTTTGGGCCTTCATTTCACTTGTTTGAATATTTTTTAAAGAGAATCGAAAAGGACACATGCAGTGTTTTCCAAAGAGACCTGTAGCCCTACAGCATGAGTAGATGGTAAAACCCATCACACAGCCGCTCTGCTCGATCAGAGCAGTAACACAAGGTAATTAGCCTCTGAAAGGTAATTAGCCTCTGAGGCCCTGTCTCAGCTCAGGAAGTAAAATCGCATCATGAGCAACTTGCTGAGATGGGAGAAAAAGCAAAATGGCACGTGTTTCTCAGCTTCTGTGGTGGGAGGGAGCAGATGAAAATGACATTGTTTCTGGCTTCATAGTGCCATCAAGTTTAAACCTCCTCAATTTACTCAATCATCCCCTTCAAAGGCTACCATTCATTAAAAGGAATCTAAAGCCTCAGTCAAATAAATAAAATAGTTTATTTATATAACACTGGATGGTTTGATGTGCTTATTTTTCATCCTTAGAAAATGTTCCTGCCTGTCTTTTCTCCAGTGTGTCCAGACAAACTGATTTTTCTCTCCAGTTCTTCTGTGACTTATTACTGACATGACTTCTGGCATATTTCTCCTGGAAGAATAAGGAGTCAGCTTTAAAGGCTTCCTGTAACAGAGCTAGACCTGAGGATAGTCAGCCTAGGCCTATTGAATAGACTTCACTCTGGGAACTGCCTTTAAATGTTCATCAACAATTATTTTTAATTCTGTCAGTACTTTATAAGTGTTTTGCTTAGTGTGGCTGAAAAGTGGCTGAATTCCACCTTTGGACCTCATTGCCTGCCTGAGCCCACCCAACTGGATTAAACCCTAGAGAGGAGAAAAGTAGGATTGAGTGGTAGTGTTGATGCGTTGAGAGCAGAAGAATAGAATTCAAATGTAGCAGATGGTTTTCAGATTTCTGTGGCCTGTAGAGACTTACAGTTGCAGCCTTTGGTTGTGCTTAATGAGCATTTTCTTACAGACAGTATTTTCACAAATTTCAAGACCAGCTAGAGAGGTATTTTATTTTTCCATGAACTGAAGAGAGCATTATTTATTTATTTAAAAGGCACTGTGAACTCTGTGTGGTGTTTATAAAGGTTTTTTTTTCCCATTCAGCTTTTTTCTCATTCACTATTATCACTGATAGTGTGGTATATTTTCTTGTTGCTTCTTCATGTTCTTAGAATCCTATTTCCACACTAGGTCACAGCCACACAAGCATAGGACAGTTAATTGTGTCATAGAGGAAGAAATTTGAGTATAAAATAAACTTTACAAAGAGCATCAACATTCCAAGTTTATTCATTGTAATGCACATCTTAACAGGCCATTGTGTTGTGTCTTCACCATGTACCAGGCTTTGGGATAAAGAAGGTGGAGCACATTAATGAGCTTGACAGATAGAATTTTTGTCTTAAGGAAGTATTTCATCTAAGAATTTTTGTTTAAAAAGTTGTTTTTTTAATCATTGAATTTGCATAAAGTGACATAATAAATTCTTGATTATTGAAAGATCTCAACATTCAAAAGTGTGCCATCACATTTCCAGAGCAATATCAGAACTTTTCTATTGCAGAAATTGCGTTTTTGAATTAAAAGTAAATTTACAACAACAAAACATAATTTAACCACGTGGTTTAGGAAGTTACAAGTAAATGGTAGTGCAGCTTATTTCATAATATTTTCCCTTAAACTATAAAAGTAAAGTTTAGCTGTAGGTCACACTGTTTCATGAAAGAAGTAACATTGCTATGTATAACTTTTGAATTGAACTGTGTTACTAATTACATTAGGTCCCATTGATTTTCTGCGAATGCAAGATTAGAGATAGCACTTAAGGTCAAAAAACAGGAGCTAGTGTCGGGGTAAAGAAGATGCTTGTTTCCTAAGTGGTAATGCATGGTAGCATGTAGAGTGACTGAAAAATAAAAGGGTTCACTCGCCTTAGTTATATATCAGTTTTATAGCTGGAATAGTCTTTTGAAATCCAGTTTTACTCAAGTATAGAGGTATACATATATAGGAGCTTTGTAAAGAAATCAAGCTGTTGAATTTTGGAGAACTCCATTTTCAGGTTGTCCTCTGCTCTGAACTCTGTTACTTTAGAGTAAAAAACAAATCTTGTTTAACTCACATATGAAATGTGATGGTGGCAGCATGCATCTTAAAGTTGCACAAGCATAAAACTTCAGCCCCTTGTGTTTGTGTGTTTTTTGCTCTGTTACTTTTTACTATTCAACTTTCACACTGCAGAAATGGAAATTTGAGGGACTAGATCTTCAAACAATTTGTTATTTTAATGTTAAGTGTATTTGAGGAAATGTTGGGAAGTAAGAGATCCCTGACAATGTGAAACTTTGAGACATGAACCAAAGGAGGATGATGGAAGAAAGGTTTCTTAGAAATAAGAGGGAAAATACAGCCTGGTTGGAACCTCCAGAATGGAAGAAAAGTAGAAAAGATAAGAAAGTTGGTCCACATCACTAGGTGGAAGACAGTGTGGGGCTAGAATAACAGTTGTGACTTTCTTCAGAAGCAACATAGAAATAGAAGTCAAGTTACTCATGAATTCTCACTTGGTAAAATACAGGGTTAACCCAAGGAGTTAAATACAAGGTGGTCAGATTTTCATGACATTTAATAGTGGATCTGCTGACTTTGCTAGAGCCATGGCTTGAAATTGGCTTCAAGTGAGAGATCAGCAGCTGCCTGCATTTTGTCATTAAAAGATTAGTCATTCTTATCTGACCTTTTAAAACTGTAGGAAAACTTTACAGTGTAACAGATTTACTCTGGGATGTTTTATAGTTTAACTCACAATACTCTTTCTGATTCTGAAGCCTTTGCAGAACAGTAGATTCCACCTTCACAAATTGGAAGCTTTATGTGGTACAAAGTAAACTGCCGTCCGCACAGCAGAGTATGTCACAGGGGCTGACCTTCGCTCAGCTTCCCCAGCCAGCCGTGGCTCCAAATCATAACACTGTCACTGAATTTCAAGTTACTCCAATTAGTACATGATCCTGTGAGCTCTCTCCTTCTCAGCTTCTGTACTATTTTTAGTTGCATGGAGAAGATTAATATCTACCTCATAATACCTCATACTTTGTCTATGCTTCTTGTTACTATAGAGCCAGCTTTTGTGCGAACTAGAGAACATTTCAATTTGATGCAGCTTTGCTTAGATTTAAGTCTTAAATAAGCTTGAAAATTTTACTTGTCTTAAAATTAGCATTAATTTTAGGATCATTCTGCTTTATTTCACAGAGTATAAAAATTTCCCTTAGATCCACCAAAATTATAGATGGTTCATGGCTCCATGGAGGACCATAGAAAACTGCCTGTAGGTCAAATGGGAGGAGGGATGGTGCAAGGGGCAAAATCTGTTCTTAATTGTGCCATTGGTGGCCCTTCTGATGGAGTGAAGTATGCACAGTCCCAATATGGTAAATGTGCTTGCCACCGTGACCCTCAGCTTCATGGTCTCTACCTGGGAGTGATAGCGAGCTCAGCTGTTTCTCAGGGACAGTGTGAGTTGAGTAAGCTGATACATCAGAAACCTTGAGGTCCTGTCCAAATGTGTGCTATCGTGGTAACTTTTACTAAGTAGAAAGACTCATCAGTAGATTTAGGGCAAATAGCCTCAATGTCACTGTTCTCTGCTTGTTTGAAAATCTCTTTCCAGATTTCCATCTGGCTTTATTTATGTTTATATGCTTTCAAGCTCTTCAATTTAGAGTTGACACGGCTTAATTGTAAATATATAGCACTGTGTTCATATCACCCTAGAGGCCAGCGTCAGAGCTCACTGTGCAGGGGCCTTTAGCTCAGGTTAAGACAGACTAAAAGCAAGTGTTGATTACTTACATATAAGTGACAAAACCAGTAGCCCACACAGCCGTGATTCGCTAGCACCTACGGAAGTGTGCACTTTTAGACAGCATCAAAATATACTGTAAAATCTTTTTAAATGAGTCAAAAATTAACATTGCTTTTGTCTGACTTTTTCTTTTAAAAGCAACTTACGATGTTTTCTCAAGCTCTGCAACACCAGATGAGCATGAAATACCAGAGTCCCACACAGGTATACCCAACCTCTCAATTCTCATTTTGGACCCCAGATGTTCTAACAATACTGCACCTAGTTCTCCTTTAGCTTTTGCAGAGTGTGAAGAGAGAAAAAGTCACATCGGGGAGGTGACTCTTACCCACTCCTCCCTTAGACCAGTTCTTTCCTCACAAGCGTCGATTAATAGACCCCACACATGGAGAGGCAAATAAATTTGGTTGTTACTGAAGCAAAATAATGTGGTGGCCTATTGCTCTGCTGTTCAGAAGCATTCCAGAAAGGGTTGGGAGTATTCAAAACTTTAAAATGGTTCTCAAAACAGGTGGGGGTGGGGGGTTGTGACTTTGCTCTCTTCTCCTTCCAAGAGCACTTAACAGTGTCTAGAGACATTCTTGTTGTGAGAACTAGGAGAGATGCTACTGGCAACGAGTGGATTGAGACCAAAAATGCTCCTAGACCCTTGAATGCACAAAATATTCCCTCCACACAGAGCAAATAATTAATCCAAAATTTCAGTTGTGCTGAAGTGAAATCTTAAACAAGCACAAATATGCCATCCATTTGCCTGTTTCAGCCTCATCTTTGATGTTCACTTACTGATCTGGCCACAGGAAGTTCAGCTCTGTCTAGTAGTTCTCTTAAGAAATGTTTATTGAGGACTTGTCTAAGTATTAAAGGAGTTTCAAAGTGATTAAGAATGACTTCTGCCAGACATAGATTTGTCTCTTTTTATGTCGCTTGTCATTATTTCTTATGATAAATAAAAGCAAATAATTTTAATCAGAAGTAGACAATAACAGATGAACTAAAAGCTGAGTGGATTCAGTTAGCAGTTAAAAAACAGGGAAGAAACCAGAAAAAAAAAATGTTCAAAATGAATCAGACATATAAAACACTCTTTTATCATGGTTTCTAACATCTTAAATATGCATGTTTTAAAAGTGAGTTCATCTTCAACTCCTAATGAACCACTAATTTTGAAATGTTGGTCAGAAATCTCTCAAATTTATTTGATATTCCGCCCCCCCCCCATGAGGCATAATTTATTGCTCATGAATTTGTATTTTATTCCTGGGGCCTTCTGCTTTTATAAATGTTGACATTTATTCCAACAGCAACAAGTTATCCTATTCTGGATTCTGTCCCACCTAAAACTTCTAGAACTTTTGAACAGCCAAGGGCAACACCGGGTAATGTTTTTAACAGAAAAATCATACTTTGTTTTCCATCAAAAGAAAATCCATGTGAATGCCTTTCTTCCAAATGAGCATTTCATTCCATCACATCTAGTCATTTATTTCTTTCCTACTTTTAAATATATATACATATTTTTCCTACAATTCTGGCATCTTTTATGTTCCATTTTGAGTTCTCTTTTCTTCTTTTTTTAACTGTAATGGTATTTTTTCCATCCTTAGGGATGAAAAGCTTTGAAGCTGCATGGACATCTTCATCATCCATATCAGCCTATCTCATGAGTTTGTGGCCTGTATTACCTCTCCCATGCACTGGAATCAATTCTCAGCCATTATCTCTCTGACCTTTTCCCCACTTTAAGTCACTATTTCATCCACTAGCTTTCAAGACTAGATGCATTTTTCATCTTTAATTGTGTACTTGTGGCATGTGCTCTGTAACACCATCTAAAAGCATGTTAAAATTCTTAAATTGCCTGATTTTAACTGGAATTACTTGATGGGATGGTGTATTTTATGTTTTCAGCTCCAAGTGAATTACCATTTGTTCCTCAAAAAGTGGAAACCTTTACCAGTCCTGAAATGCAAACTTCAACATCTGGTAACTAATGACATTTGTATAGTTGCCTGTTTTGAAAGAACAGATAAAGTAACAAAAGCAGTCAGGTTGACCTTTTCAGAATGTTTGTAGTACTAAATATTTCCCCTCATTCTTTACTGTGAAATTCTTTATAAAATTGGGTTATCTGTCACATACTTAGCCTTGATAATACTCAAAGAATGTTCATAATCTTGACATCTATTTTAAAGAGCTGTTTTCTTTCTCCTATTTGCCTTTCAACCTTGCAACCAGAAAATTCAGGAGAATTATAGATGATAAATATGTTAAGATATATACCCTGGATTTAGCAGGGTTAGCCAACACTTAGGTTATTTTTCTTCAAGTAATCTGAATATAAAGAGTATCAAGTAGGCTCTACCATCCTGAACACATGATGAGGATGGGTAAAAGCTAGGTAGCCCAACTTACATTATATTAAAATCTTGTTGGAATAGAAAAATTCACTAACTCCAGGTGAGGTTATGAACTACAGAATTAAATTAATATTTTATATGTGTTTCTCACCTGCTGTTCAGCAAATCATCTTTAATTTCTTAATTGTAACATGTATTTAAGTTTGCTCACGTTCTAGTCAACATCAATTCTCACATAGAAATTACTTTCTTTTGGCCCATTCAACATTTATTGAGGGCCTAAGCATAGTACTGGGCATTTTGGGAATACAAAGAAATATAAAAAACTTCCTCCACATGAGAAATTTTCAAGTGTACAGTTACAACCTAATTGAGCCCTAGGAAATATCATTTATCAAAGTTATATTAAATCTTTTTCCAGCTCCCTTGCAAACTACACCTAAGCGACGCCTCAGACCCAAACCTCCAAGAACCAAACTTGGTAAATCTCTCTTTACTCTTCAGCATAACTGATTCCAAATGGATGATATCCATGTCCTTATCATAATAAGAAGAGATGATGTTATAGTTTAAAAATCCTTTACAAAATTTGAAATTGACTACAGATGAGCAATTAATAATGCAAAATAACAAAGACATTTCCAATAAGATTTTTTGAAAATTATGTGATTGTCTTGCATGTAAATTTTTGTGTAATCTAGAGTTGTCCTATTGTCTTGGGAATGTAGACTAAAAGTATAATTTATTTTTTGGTAAATATAAAGTGTTTATTTGACTGACATTTCTTGGGTTTTGGTGCCTTCTGTGTTTTCAGTTGTGGATCAGGGCAATTCCTTAGACAGAAAGGACATGACTGCTTTCAATTGCTTATAATCTTAGCATAGTGCTCATCAGAAATAATGAGCAAGCAACATGAAATTATCTGTGATGAGACTGTAAAACTACTGCAAGTGCTCAGAGAAAGGAAGAATTGATGCAAGGCTCAAAATATGTGTAGGGTTTGAGAAAAAGGAAAAGGAGATTGGGCCAACATGTAATAAAGCAAAGAGTTTGGATGTAAAGGCAGTTTACCAACCTGAGAGTGATAATCATCACTGTTAGACATGTCCTCAGAATCATGCTAAACAAATTGGGTATTGCTTATTTCATTATGGTATAGACACAATTGTTATACTATTTTAAGTTTAAATATTCTTTCCTAGACTTACCCATTGTATATTTTGTAAACACCAATTACAAAATGTGGCAGGATTTTTCAAAGGACAGTCAGTTCCTCTTTGGAAATTGTCTTTTATGTTTCTAGGCTGTCTTAATATTCTTTTTCTTTTCCATCACCAGAAAGAACCACAAGTTCTGGAACATTTACATCCAAATTTTCTAAAAGCCCTGAACCTACAGAGACAACATTGGGTAATGAGATGTCCTTAGCTTCGCTTTCCATTTCACCATGAAAAATTCACTACTCCAGCTTTTATGTCACATTCCAATAACTGTTCTAACTGGCTCATTTGAACAGTACAGAATATCTCCAAGTATTTCAAATCCATGATTTTCTTTGGTCTTGAATAGCTGACTTTTAGCAGTAGATCTGATTTAATATTCAAACATCTTCCTATAGCTTGGAATATCCATTGATGCTTTCTCATTTTCTACCCCATCAATGCATTTATAGTTGGGTCTTACATATAGTTTTCCCTTTTATCTTTTTTAGTTCAACCCTCAAGTTCAACCTCAGACTTCATTTTGGGAAAACTCTATTTGGTATTAAGTGGAATTTCTTTATTCATGTCATAGTATCAATGAACATTAATTTGAAATCAAAATAGTGTTTTAAACCTTTTATTCTGTTGCCTAAAGATGTAGATGTGGTTAAGAAATGTGAAATAAGAGCACATAATTATTATCCCTACTTGTTTAAGTCATGCATTAAAATCACTCATTTTGTATTTATTGTAACTACTTAGCAGCAATGCTATTTTTGTTAAATACATTCTTGAAATGTATTTTTTAATCAGATAAAGCTTTATCAGAGCATTTCCATTAAATGTGGCATTGCATAATATTCTTTTAGAGGGATATTTCGAAGTCTTCCAAGAGGCTACATTTATTCTACTTATAGTTTATTAGATTTTTCTTTCTGTGGTCTTAGCTAGTGAAATACCTAAATATTGATTTGTTGTATATTGTTTCTTTACTTTTCCAGCTCCCAGTAAAACACAATTCATTTCTTTGAAACCTAAAATCCCTCTCATCCCAGAAGTGACACACACCAAGCCTGGTAACTACCCTAAATTTTTAAGCAAATATTCCAAAAGTGGGGTTGAAAAATTGTTCTGTGCCACTCTTTGGAGCAAGAACTTGTGACTTATATTTTGGTATTTGAAACATTTTTCCATAAAAAGTACAAAAATGAAATGATCTCATTATAACCAGTTTATGACACTACCCCAGCTTTGCTCTGAACTGTGTGATGGGTCATTATGTTCATGAACATCAAGAAGAAAACACAGAACTGCAACTCTGTGACTGATTGAGCACTCCCTTGTCAAGGACGATGAAATAGTTTCCAATACCAAAATTGCCTGGAATTCTGATCACACAGAACAAGAGCCTTTCAGCTGGGAAGGGGGAAAAGTGTTTAAACCCCCTAACTTTGCCTTGTTTGTGGGGAGGGAAGGCGTTCTTAGCTCTCAGGCTGCAAGATCAAAAAGTTGTATTTCTAATGCTCTATGACTTCTTTCTAAATTGGGGCTGATTTCTGAGCCATGACTTCTGTTTTAATTCCTTGGAAATGTTAATGGTGTTCTGCTGGGGGGTGGGGGGGGTGGGAAGAAAACTCTTTTGCTGCAGGGTGGAGTTATTCTGTACTTATAAGAACAAGGACAATTCACTGCATAAGAATTGCAGGACATACAAGATGCCCAAATACTCATTTTCCCCCTGTCTATCCAGACTATACTTCAGTCTTAAATGTTGTTGCCTTAAAAGATTATGTACAGGAAACTTTGCCACTCATCATTTTTATCTAAATTAAAGCCCCTAGCTCAGACAGAGTAGAATGCTTCTTACTATAATGCTCAAAGGATTTTTCCAATACTTATTTAGAAAGTAGGATTATTAAGAGATTTTCTACTTAAGAGGACATAATTTTTTTTTAATCATGAAATGAGTAAGAAGGAAAATGTAAGTCCTCAGAAATATCTTATGACTCCCATTAAAGATGCAGTGAGATTGGCAGGTGTAGGTATCAGACTGCAGGAAAGTAGGGATTAGCAGCAGGAAAGCAGGTGACAGTAAAACCACTAAAATCTCTAAAGCAGAGGAATACACTGAGGTACTCTTACTCAAAGAGGTTATTTGGAGAAAGAAGTGTAGCTAATAAAATTCAAGAGCCCTAGAAGTTTAAATTAGAAACCTTTGACAGCTAGCTGTATGAGAGGAAGATTTAGTAAACATTTATTTAAAAACACACTTAAAAGACTTTGGAATAAAGTACAAGCTACTATATTTATGCTGTATTTTGATTAGGGCACTACTCCCAAGCAGATAAAAGATCTATGACTGTTTCAGTCCTCATATTTAAGTAAATGTTTCTCCAAATAATTGTTATTATAAAATGAAAATTGAAACCATCAAAACATGCTCCCCACATTGGTTCCCATTTATACATAGTAATTTACTTTAATAATTTTAGTGGTTTTAGAAAATGAAAAAAGATTCCTGAGGGGAACTTAATTCATCCACAGAAATAAACCTGGGAGAGTATATTCTCAGTCTAAGGTGTTTGAGTGAAGAGTGAGTTCATGTTCTTTTGACTTGTTATCATCTAATTGCTTAAGAATACCCACACTTTACCCCTGGCATTAAGTTTAATTGTTTCAGAATCTGCTCCCAAACAGGCCAGCTTAAGTTCACCTGGATGGTATGACACAACAGAATTATCCACTAGATCACTGCAAACAAATACAGAGCTTTTTAAAATGTTTATTTGAAGGTAGATCACCATTACAGCTTTGCTGAAGATTTCTATTTCTAGCCAAAGTTCAGAAGAGCAAATAAACCACTAAAGCTTTTTTTTTTTTTTCCCAGTGATATGCTGCTTTTCCCAACCCACACACTCTTCTATTTTTCCATTTCACTTTCCAAACAGGCTACATTTCCTCTGGCTTTCCTTTGTGGCTTAACTAAGGAGTAAAAAAAAAAAAAAAAAAAAACCACATTGGTTTTGCCTTTTTTTTTTATAAGCAAAATTCAATGCTTTCTTGAAAATTCCAGCAACTACCATGTCCCAACTTGTCTGCCTTATCCAGTAAGAGTTGTTTCTTGCAATGAAGTTAATCTGAATATTAAAATGACATTCAGGTCTTCAACCTTTGAAGAGGCTAAAAAAAGGAAGGGTCCTCTGGTGGTAGGTGCTTACTTTCCACAGTTCTTGACATGACAGATCAATGTGTAAGTTCTCATCGATGGCCACAAATCCATGATGGAGCTTTTTCCTTTTGTTTCACTTAGGTGAGTGGTAATGTCATTTGCCTGTCACTCAACTTTTTTATGAAATATTTTTATACTTTTATTCATAATATTTTAAGGTAGTCAAGTAGAGAGAAGTCTTGTCAGAACATGTGCTTATTTTAAATAAACAGATTCAGTGTTTTACATGCAGGTGAATTGAGAAGTTACCTAGTGGGGTCCCTGTCTGGTCAGTCAGTACCTCAAAGATGCCTGTTTACCTTTATAAAATTCAAAAGATAGCATTCCTTAACCTTTAACATTTGTAAAGATTAAAACAGATCGTGAATAGTAATTTTTTTCATGATTTTCAAAGGCAACTTTGTAGAAATTAAAACATGAATTACAGCCTTGAAGTTTCAAAATATTTTTTTGTAGTTTCAAAATCATCAATCTTCTCACTTGAAAGTTGATGCTGTGGATGAAACACTGTGAAAATAGGGTATCTGTGCTTTCGACTTTATTGTCAGATAGGAGGTATGATAGCCATAATCCATAATCAATTTTTGACAAGAAATGCATTCCTTCTCATTTGCCATCATTAATAATTCTCTAAATAATGTTGCTACAGAATATTTAGGCAGTTTCATTCTTAATTTTTTTGAAGATTTATTTTTTATGCATGTGAGGACTGGGGTGCAGGCCAGAGGACTCACCAGAGACATAATAGGGAACAGAGTAGGAGCAGAGCAGATGTATTGAAGTACACTGCTTAAGGGAGCAAAGCAGGAGAGGTCTGCTGTGCCAGTGTAGGTTAGCTCCCTGTCCAGCCAGGGAATCAAACTCCAACTCATGCTACAGTGGTTGGCAACAGCTTGACAGCATTGTCTTTAACCCCTGTGCCACCAGGGAGTCCCCTCATTTATAATTTTTTACTCTGATTTTTGGCTAAAATTGCTAACCATTTATTTAGATGTGCTGGTAATCTTTTCGGGGTGATTAAATTTCTCTTTTGCTGAAGCACCTTCACCAGCTAATCTGATACTCATCCAGAGCTTTAGCTGGTTACAGCCAGTTCCTTATTTAGTTACAATTCCATTGGTACTGGTCTAAGGAAAATTGTATAAAATGGTACTTATCTGAACACCATTTGAGAACAGCCATACTCTACTTTCTTGTAACACTTACATAAAACTACTAGTTTTAAAAACTGTTTTTCCAACATGGCCCCTCTTTATAAAAGAAATAGATGTGTTCCTGTTTGGGAATTTGGGAACTGTTAATTGATGACTACTAATCAATTACCCAAAATATTTGTGGGAAGAAGAGAAAGAGAAAAGCAGGAAAGAAGAGATATCCACTTAGTGCCTCCGATAAGTTCCTCTTTATGATGTGAGAGGCTGCTGGAATTTTTGTAGTAAGGAGAAGAAACCGCATTGCACATGGCCTAGGGACTGCTTAGGGAGAGGTGGAGGTCAGTTGCTTCTGTTCTGACCACTAACTTATAGTCAGCACGAGACGTAAGCAATCCCAGCTGGGAAAGTTTACTTATGACACAACCCTTCCCCAGGTTTCCTTCTCTCCTATACAGTCTTAGAGACATCCAGGTTCTTTCCCTGCCTCCTTTCTTTCTCCCTTCCCCCCAGTCGGTCTCGTACACAAAAACAAATGTACACACACATAATTTTTGCTTTGTTATGTGTACTTAAGTCTGATACACCACAATAGCTTTGCCATCCTTTTTCTCAAGGTCTTGAGAAACCGGAATTCTTTTTTGGCCACAGACATGTTAATGACTGTTGCCATCTTTAGGTAATACTTTGTGCTGTCATGCATTTCTCTCGGATGAATGAAAATTCTTTATCCATATATTGTATTTTCTATTTCTGTTTATATTTGCTTAAGACTTACACTGTTTGCTTCCCCAAACTTTACACACACCCTACTACAGCTCTAGCAGAGACAACTCCTGACAAATATAAAAAATGTGTGTGATAAAATTATTTAAGTTCTATTAAATGGTCGATGAGCACCATACTACTTAATAAAAAAAGTCAAAGAATTTACATTTTTTCTTTTGTTTTAAGAGTTGAACTTATTTTCTTATTCTTGAATGAAAAATAATTCTTTTGTCCTGTAGAATAAGAACTGTATTAGATGACCTTATAAAAACAGATAGCCAAAATACAATCAATGTGCAATATAATTTATTTATTGCAAGCATGAGTGAAGGGGATGACATTAACTTAGTAAGTTAAACAGAATACCTGTACTCAACTTTGTCCTTATCTTTGTATTTAACTTGTTTAATTTTTCTTAAATCCTTTATTCCAGCCATTTTTTTCCCCCCAGAAGACACACCCTCAACCTGTGTTTGACTAAGCAGAGCTCTGCAGCAGCTTCGGGAGCCATACTAATTTTGATTGACACACTCTCTATTGTCTCTTCTTATGCTTGGCAGGGTATCTCCAGATGGTTTTAACATGTTTTTTTCCAGGGCAAGAGTGTGACTTCCCTAGAGCATATTTGTGTTTTCGCTTTGGGTGGTTGTCTCTTTTAAAACTTTGCAGGATTTCTTGAAAAGCACTTTTTTCCTCCCAGATCTAATAATCCTGATATGTCACTAGAAAATCCATTCAAAGGAAGAAACTGAAAGAGTAACCACAATCTTATAACTTCTTTTTCTTCAAAAGAGCAGAAAGTGTTCTCCTGGTACCATCTTAGCCAATTACCCACAGTTTCCTTCGTGACACAAACTACTGGTTACTTCAGTGTGTACACATCTTCCACATGAGAACCATTTGTTTGTTTTCCATTTCACTTTCCACACTTAGCTGAGTGGCTGCATTTTTGTTTATTTTTCTAAAAGCATAAATTTATTTTAAATTTTAAATGGTCTTATTCACCTTTTGTTGTATTTGTTAAACAGTAAGTAAAAATTAAGCATTTTTTATACTTAAATAGATGTTACCATTTTTCATAGATTTTGATTCCTTCTTGATTTTTCATGCAGTCTTAGAACCTGGCACACTGGGAACCAAACCCTCAACACCACCACTAGGTAATGCAGCTACGGAGTGAGTGGCTTTGCTTCCTCTTTTCCTGACCACCGTATTTTTATTCACAGGCTCCAACTGTTGCATTAGTTCGTATTTATTCTGTGGGTTTCTACAGAAACCTTTTTAATCCTAGAGCATTATAAACAATACCTTATCTTTAAAAAGTTGACTTCACTGAAATAATTTCTGAATTCAAAGCTCCTTTGCACACTTTACTACTAAGTGGAAAATGTGCTTTGAATTGTAAGCCAAATAAATTGTAATTGTGACATCTTAGAAGCAACTTTTCTCATATTCCTGCAGACCATAACACGAGAAACTTTTATACTTTCTTCTCTAAGCTGTACAAAGTTTTGACATTTTTCCTTCTCTAAATGGAATAACACTATCTCTTGAACAGTGGTTATTTATAAATCTCAGGCAAAACAATTATTCAAGACCTCATTTATGCAGTATGAAAGCATGCTGCAAAATTGAAGGGCATGAATGTGTTTTTAGGGATATATAGTTCAACTGTCTGTTTTTAGTCCCTACTCTTAAATTAACTAGCTGATTTTCTTTCTTCAGCTCCATCAAAGACCAAAAGGCCAGGTCGTCGCCCCCGTCCTAAAACCACACCTAGTCCAGATGTACCCAAGTCCAAACCTGGTAAATGTAATGTTCAGGGTTCCAGTTAATGTAAAAGCTGGAATATGGCAGCTTCTGGCTTAGTAGCTACCCATTGCCTACTTAACTGAGCTTTAGAAACCAGTGAAATTGACTTTTGTATTTAAGCTTATATACTATTTTTCTGTAGACATGTTACATAAGTATGTATTTATGTTTTTATTTGTAGTTTTTAGATACACATGGCATTAAACTGGGACACTAAGGGGATTATTAAAATAAGATACCATAAAGCCCTTACATAAAGACCATATTCATAGCAGATGAGGTAAGGGAAACTCATACTTATAAAAGAGGTACATGGGGAAAATCACATCCAGAAGTAGTACAATTTAAGTAAAGATTGGGGAGTAATGTCTCCTGCTTCAAGATTCCACTCACTGATATAATTAGTAATTTTGGTTTTCTGCTTCTGTAGCTCTTCAGCCTGCTACGGTACAAACGGAGCTCTTGGTGCCCATAGTCGGTAATTTACTCCCCTCCAGTTGTTTTCACTGGTTGTCACTTATGCTTTCCCTGTTCTCCACTGGGGCACAGCTGTAATTCTGTCAGCCCCATCACAATTTCATTTCATGCTTCTCCTCACCATTTCTTTCTGGGTCTGGGAGCTAGAAGATAGAAGTCTTCTAGAAGAATCCTGTGTACATATTTAGGGAAGGTCTGCAGTCTTGAACACAACTCTTGATTCTCCACAAACTCTCTGTGCTTCCATCACATGTCCTGATGTTAACAAGACACACTCCTCTTTCAAAGACTGGCTACAATGTTTGATCTGGAATTGACAAATGGCAAACTTTTATTTCAGTGCTGTAATTATCTTTGTGTCATTTTGCACATTGGATGTAATGCTTACTCTTTAAAACACTGCATGGGATAATGACTTCAACTTTGTTTTCTTAAACAATGTGTTTGAGTATGATTGGATAATCAGAGGCACACACTGTTCCTGGTCTAGGGACCTAAAGAAATAGTTTTGTCTTTGCAATTGGAAAACATTGGAAGACTCAAGCTGCTGTTGATTGTTTTAGTACTAATACTGTTTGGTTACAAATATTTTATTGTAATTTCTCCATGTTCACAATAGATCTGTAGCTGCTTTGCTTTGGAAAATTCCAGAAGACATTAACCATGTGAATTCAAGTGATAATAGATTTTTTTGTTTGTTTGTTTAGGTTTCCTACTAGGCAAGTTTCAAATTCTTCCTTACTGTTTTTATGCTGAAGAAGCCTATTACAAAATAGAATTATTATACTTGTTATTTTAAAGATTACTTGTATAGAAAAAAAGTCTTATTCTATTTCTCATTACTTTTACTTAATTTCCTGGAGATGTTTCCAGTTTGGAAAAAAATCAGTAGACATTGATAATATTTTCCACCCTTCCCATATTCCAGGAGTTTTGTATATTCACTGAATTTAGAACACATCTCTGCTGAAACATATATGTTCTTAATTATTAGAGTTGCAACTATGACCCGTGGAATTTGCTAAATTCTATCCCTTTTTCTTTAGCATCAAAACCATCCAAAAGACATGGAACAACGTATAGACTAGATGCATCTCAAATCCAGCCTGATAATCACTACCTTTAGTGCATTGATCTGTAACTAGGGAAATGGTGTGTAAGTGGTATTATTCTTCTCATTCAGAGCTCTGCTATGATTCTAATTGTGGCACCGTTTTTTTTTTTCCTTCAGATTCAAAACCACCAAAGCAATTACATCCTAAACCCCAAATAACCCCAAAGCCAGATATGCCAACAACTAAATCCGGTAAACTTGATTTCCAGTGCTTTACCTTAAGCTTTTTCTTTGGGAATGCTGTTGAAAATGTTGACAATTGTCATGCCATATATCCAGTAGAAACCTAAATAGGTGGCACAAGGCATTAAATCTCAGTACTCTGAAGCTATCCATAATCCCTGCAGCATGAGTTTGATCCCAAGCCAGGGAGGTGCCCACATGGCACGGCAGACCTCTCCTTTCTCAACCTCAGTATATTTCAGTCAATCTGCCTGTTCTGCTCCCCACTCTGTCTCTGGTGAATCCACTCACCCCCACACCTCTGGCCTGTACCCAAGTTCTTTTATGCATAAATAAACCTTTAAAAAAAGAAAGCCAAATAATGATTTTGTTATCTTCTCAAAGTAGTCACACTGATAATTTAAATGCTAAATGAACAAATCAGTGTGTGATTACCTCTGACCCACAGAGTCTGTGTTCTTAAGGCATTTTTAGGTTTTGTTTTCTGGATACAGATTTGTCATAAATAGAAGCCTGTTTTTTTCTGTATAGTTCTAGAAATTTTTTACTGATGATTTTTATTTATACATACACTAATTGGGGTGTTGGCCAGAAGTGCAAGGGATGAGAGGATTCACCAGAGATAGAGTGAGGGACAAAACAGGCAGATCTACTGTGATACACTGGTGAGGGGAGCAACAAGCAAGACAGGAGAGGTCTGTTGTGCAATGTGGGTCAGCTCCCTGGCTGGACATCAAACTCATGCCACAGTGGCTGGCCTGATAGTCCTGAGACTTTAACCCCGCCCCCTTCTAAAGTGTTTTTAGCAATCATCACTAGGCAGCAGTCTGTTCTTCCACCTTAGGCACAACTGAAAAAGAATTGATAATCTGAGACTCACATCATTTTAGATTCCTATTGGCATTTTAAGCCATAAGTAATAACTGAATGATTTACCAAATAAGTTATTTTAAAACAGCTCTGAAAATTCAGCTGTTTTTGCAATAAAATTTCCTCTTAAGATTCCAACTAGTTATAACACTCTAATAAGGAAATGTACAGATTTCTCATAAATAAGCCAATCAAGAAGGCAATTTATAAAAATATAGAATAAAGTAGGTTTTGTATCCACTGAATTTAAAAATCAGCAAGCACTGAAAAGTTGAACTTTCTTGTTTTTATTACTTATATCTGTTTATTTTTTTATGATGCAGTCTTTGAGCCTATTGTATTCGAAACGGAAGCTCCCTCCATCACCATAGGTAACAATGTCTTCCTCCTTGGTCAATGTTTTTTTGAGCTTGCCCCCTTACATCTGGCATTATCTGTACTCTCTTGTGTAAACAATGATCATTTATCTCCTTTTTCTTTCACTTCGAAAATTGTTTCTTTCAATTCCAAAAGCACTACGTACTCTCACATCTGCTGCTCAGTTTATAATCCCTGGAGGTTTCCGTTTGATCACCTTCAGAGACATTCAGATTACTTGTTGCACTTGGTGCTGCCACAAGTCCCAGGAGCTAACCAGGAAATTTTTGAGATCTCTAAGTGGGAGGGAAGCAGAGGAAACCCTGGTTGGATTTTGGAAGACTAATTCTCTCTTTCTCAAAAAAGTATTACCTTCTTTGATTCCATGCTATTCAAGTATAGCTGATCTTTTCTCTTGACAAACTCATCTCGTGATGCTGAATTCCAAACAAAATAAGGATTCCCCTCTTTTTGTTTGATGACAGTCAGCTTTGAGTGTGTTCATCCTGTTGATCTGGCTTCCTCCACCTCTTCTGCGCGCTACATTGTCATTGGCTCAGAAGATGTTTTCAGATGTGGCTCAACCAACTTTGTGCTGTGATGTCTTAGGGAAAGGCAATATCCATGTAATGCTTACAAGGATTTGTTGGTTAGCTTTTTAATGTTTCACTTAACCTTCTATTTTGAATGAAAAGTAAACTCAGACACCTGTTTAATTATAAGAAATTAGTCTCTGGGTAACTATCATTTCATACTATTATAGATTTGCAGGAATTCTGTTTATTCAGGCATGAAAATTTTAATTTTATATATTTTTCTTAATCACCTTTGTTGACATGAATAATAATCTGTTACCCATTTTGATATAAATGAATGAAAAGAGACAATAGGAAATTGTATCACTTCTACAGTTTATGGAAAAAATTATCTTTTATATAGCTTCACCAAGCTCCAATAGGCTGATTAAGAATTTTTTTTTTTAAATTCCCCTCACTATACCATTTCCTAAATCACATTCATAGTGGTAATGAAATCCTTTCAAGTACTAACAGAATCTTTCATAATGTTTTCAGAGTAATTTAAATTCAATATCAGATAGTTAAAGATTTTTTTGGAGCCAAGTTTCCAATATAACTATAATCAGATAATTAAACATAGGGGTGTCAGAGGGAATCTTTGTATTAGCCCCATAAGGATGCAAAGTGTATGGCTACTTGTAAAATGCATGGATACCATAATATAGCCAGTTATTAGAGAACAAATAATATCAAATAATATTTTTCCAGAATTCAGAAGTGCTTTATTAACATTTGTTTTGAAGATACTTTTCTTTTTTTTTTCTATTTCTTAAATTCCTATTGTTTCTATTACTGCTTTTGGTCAGTTCCTGCCACAGATATTGAACCTATAACTCTGAGAACTGAGGCTCCCTGGACAACATTAGGTAATGACAGTTTATGCCTTTAATCAGGTGTCTTTTCTGCTCATTGTCTAGTCTGTTCCATCACTATTTCATCATGGGGTTTTCCCTTTCATAAAATTTTTCAGCATCCTCTCATGCCATTCAACTATTTTTAATCTTGAATGTATTGAAGATATTTAAAATAACTTGGTAGAACACAAGCCTATATGTACCTAAAGTAGTGCTTTTACTTCCATAGTGAGCCCTATTAGTACTTTACAGAGCCTGTGGTCTGCCCAGTGTTCTGTAATAAAAATGAATATACAGCTATGAGTCTGTGCCTCATAAATATCACATTAACAGAAAACTGTTTTAAGGCACATAGGGCATTTTTATTGCCTACTAATTATTTTAAGAAATGTACATATTCTAATAGTGGTCAAGTATTCAGTCAATTATGTTCTAAGTACAATTTTCCCATACTGGAGAGCCTAGTGTTGGGACATGACATGTACATAGCTACACTTCTGACTTCCTTTGGGTCAGAGTCCTGTGAAAATCTGATACCAGCAAGAATAAGTTTTAGATGATTGAAATCTTACAGTTTTACTCGATAGAACTATTAGTAGGTCCTAGCCACATTATTTTATATAGATGACAAAATAATTACACCAGGAAAATAAAGCAAAAATTTAGAAGATTATATTTAGAATTAGAACAGAATTTTAGTAAATCATGTTGAGAAACTAAAGCTCTGTGAAATTCTTTCTGTAGTTTCTGGAATCATAAGATAATGTTAACCAGTTTCCTTTCTTCAGCTCCAAAAACATCACAACGAACAAGAACACGTCGTCCACGCCCCAAACCTAAAACCACGCCGAGCCCAGAGGCACCTCACAGCAAACTGGGTAAATATATAGCTCCTGGTGCCTGTGGAACCCCAGCAGATGTGATTCCAGGGTGGGAATTTAATGTCCACCTAATAGTGCCCGTAACTCTTAAGGCTGAAGACCAAGTCAGGGAATGTAGCTGTTTCCTGCATGGCACTCTGCTCAATACCTGTGACTTGTCACATTGCTCAGCTATCTTCCTGGTTCCTGTGTATTTTACTTCTCTGGTCAATTACATTGTTCTCCTTGATTTTAGCTTAGCAAAAACTTACCTAGCTAGCATATTTAGTTTGATTAGTCACAGATTTTATGAAGTAGTTTGTCAGCATCTATGCTGAATAGTTTATAATTAATAAATGATAGCTTGGTTAAGGCAGGAAGCTCTTGTGTGGGAAATTGTTCATCGATAGATATAAAAGTAGAATGTAAACAAAAGTAAGTATTTATTGAGGCCAACTGTTAGGAACAGAGTTGACTCTTATAGAACTAAAAGATACATGGGCTGATATAAGTATAATGTGGACTTGGAAATTTGTATGGTAGGTTGGTAGGAAGGAGGGGAAATTATAGCATAAATAGAGGTATAAAATGGAAATTGGGAAGTCCAACCTAGCTGGGAGAAAGGCAAGCCCACTGAGCTGGTGGTCAAAATTTTGATCATTGGTGCTGCTTTGGAGTTTCAATGACTGGCTCCGAGCTGCTGGCCACAGCACAATCTCTCATTCTTCCGGAGTCAGGCCTTTTCTGTCCTGCCAGTAGAAATGCACTGAATGACTCCGTATCTTGCTCTTTTATGTGCCTTTATTTGGCAGGGATCTTTGTCTTTTTCAAAGTGGGCTTGTTGCAAAAAAGCAGCATTGTCTGTTTTGGCTGTTTATTCCAGTATCTATTTCAGAATATCAAGAATTATATTTATTATGACTTAGAACTTCATTTTGGCAAGCTATAGTGTTATAAATTATACTGCCTCATTCTTTTAATTTGACTGCTTATTCTACTTGTTACTAACAGAGGACCAAAGAGTTTTTTTTATTACTAATAGTATACTTTCTTTTTTTACATCATTCTTCATTTTGTGCACTTTTCATCTTAGTTGTAATCTCCAGGGGTTTCCCACCGCCAGTTCACCCGTGTACCATCACCACAGGGAACAAAGAGTCTTTTAAGAGGCATTATCTGTTGTATCATCAAATGATACAAAACAAGAAAGATGTAGAGCTAATCATGTGGAAATACTGAGGATTTAACTATTTCATCAAAATAATTGTCTTTGTACTCTCACCTCAGAACTTAAATTTTTGGCATTTTAGCTATAAATTTTTGGCTTTTTATAGCTTTTTTTAATGCTAGGCTGGTAATATTTATTTTCAAGAGTTTTATTCCTTTCATGTGTTTAACATTTAATTTTCAAATTATTTTTGATGATTTCTTGCTACAGACTTTCAACCTGTTATTCCTGGGACATCTATAGGTAATGAGCCTTTGTGTTCTGCAGCAGCTACTTGTTGACTTACGGTTCTGTCTAAATGATGCTGGCATCACTTGTCATCACATCACAATATCCAATATTTAAATACTAATGTTTCCTTTTTAACAGAAATGTGCATGAACTTCTTCAAGAGCTATCTGCTCCATATCTCAACTAGAAACTGCATTATGTTAATCTGACTCTCTGTTTAAGCAATACTGTTTCTTACCTAATATGATTCCCTTTCTACCCTGTAGTTAGACCACCAGTGCAATATCGATCATACCATGACATTTCTTTAAGCATCTTACTTTCTATTTTCCAGGTTCTACATATTTTTTGACTTGATGTTTCAGTGTGTTTTGTTTACTTATTCTAGTAAATTATCAAGTAGAAAATTTGTCCAACTCTACCATTTAAGATCATAGATGAATCTAAAGGGTAGTTTGAAACTCTCACACACCCCTGGAACTTAACCATTATTTGTGTCAGGTTTTGAGTTAGGGACTTTTTAAGGAAAGGGTATTTCATAAACTTCATTTCTAAAACTTACTTGTGTGTCTAATTTTAATCTCCGGAGAACTCTCAATTATAAAATGCTTATTTATATGCTAAAGAAAAATTTCAAACCAAAGTAGTTATGTCCACTGACAAAATGCTGACAAGTTTGAGAAAGCTTAGATCTATGCTACTGCATCTTTTTCAGAGTTTATGGAGCTATAAGCGCCACATTAATCATAAATTTTCTTCCTTTAGCTCAAACAACAATGATGACAACAACTAAGAGGCCCCGTCGCCCACGTCCCAAACCTAAAACCACACCCCATCCAGAATTATCTCAGACCAAACTGGGTAAATATGTGGTTTCTGCTTTTAAAAATCCAAGTAGTCTCGGACTCCAGTATAGGAACCCCCAAGTTCCATGCATGTAGTCAGAATGTGCCCTTACGGATCTTTAAGATTGAAAGGTTATTAGTGAGGAGATGCTGATCTAAGGGTCTTGCACTTTCTGTGTTGGAAATGCTCTCTATTAATGATTTTATTCACTTTTCTTACTAGTTTATTCCAGTCAGTCTTAAGTATAAAACTTTAAATCAAGCTTTAAAACAACATAATTAATTCAGGTTGACTATTCTATTAATTCCTTCTCTGAAGTAGGAGGTATGTTTGAGTTTGCAATCAGTATGTACTATTTAAAAAAGAAGCTGTTCCTGTGTGAACAAATAGAAAATAATGTAAGACAGCAAGCACATTGATGCAAAAGTAAAATATTTTCTCAAATGATATAAATGCTCCATAGTAGGAGTATGGTAAATATTTGGAGCACAAAAAGATGCAAGATAATTAAATAGAAAAATAGTACAGAAGCTGAAGGATTGAGGGGTAATGGAACAATGGCTGAGAAGCAGCACACGTGTTGAAGCTAACATCCCAGACAGAGAGTACCCTAAGAGGGTACCCTATTGTTCTCCTTTGAATGGACACATAGGATGAATTAAAGGAGAACTGGGATGTCTACTTAAGAGCTTAAATTTGATCTGCTGTACTTCATTGATCTTTGTTCTGCATCAGATCATGTTTTTGCTGTTCTTAGAACTGAATGTGAGCAGTCTAATATACCACAAATGGAGATGCTGTTTTTTACCTTACATTAAATGGTGAAGAACACTGTTTTCACTAAGGATTTGATTTCTTAGTGAGTGTAGTGTCAGGTCCATTTGGGTATCCATTCATATGTAGTGGACAGACCCTAGGGTTACCCCTGGACCCTACTCCCTCCATTGTCCCATCCCCATACTTCTGCTTCTTGACATTGGAGCCTTTGGATAATCCATTTTTTCCTTCTTCCTTCCTTCCTACCTGTTAGAAGCCCTAGAAACTTTTTTTTTTTTAAATTGGTAAGATGAATTGTCTGGCATTTCATGCATTTACAAAATTCTTTTTGGTTTCTTTTATTACTTTTGATCAGTTCCTGCCACAGTCTTTGAACCAGTTATTCTTAGAACCGAGGCTCCAGTGACGACTGTAGGTAATAACACCCTATATCATCAGCATCTCCTTTTCCTGCTCATTTCAAATCCATGTCATCACCATCTTAATCCATTTTCTCCTACTTCACAAGACTTGTATGCCATCTTCTGTGATCATTCAATTGCATATTAATATTGAGAAATATTAAAAACAACTTATTTGTTTTAAAAGAGCCAACATGAACTTAACTTAGTATACATACCTGCAGTGTAGTTCATTTGAATTTATGGTATCTCACCCTTCTGTTACCTTGTATTCACAATCTTTATTACTGAATTTCAGACATAATTCATGAGTTTTGGTGGAAAGAGTGTGTATTCTTGATCTAAGCTAAATAACTTGTCCTAGCTATTGTGGTACGACCCAGCTCTTCTGTGGATCTAACGTTCCACATTTTTACTATCTACATGATTTGGGTTTTGTTTAGCCATTTTAGAGAATGATGTGGTCTTTTTCCAGTAGGAATAAAGTAGTTAAAATGCCCAATTCTAGTTGATTTAAATTTTAAACACCATCTTAAGTGTAAAATTACCCAGTCCCACTATAACTAAGCAAGGTTCTGAGTTTTATTTTCATCCAGAAATCCCTGACAGAATCTTCTTGAAATCTCCTTCAACTTCTGTGTGACTTTTGTTTCTCAGAGTCATTCAGATGCTATAAAGACACAGTTATCAATAAGGGCAAGTATTTTAGACTCAAGAGAAAAAATATTATGAAACAACGAATTAAACCAAATATAATCCTATCCAGAACTTCTGGAACTAAAACACACTGCTAACCTAAGCTTTTCTCCTTTAGCTCCCAGAGTACCTCAGCGAACCATTCACCCACCTCCCAAGCTCAAAACCACACCAAGTCCTGGAGACCCTCAACCTAATCTGGGTAAATGTGCAGAGCCTGGTTGAGGAGTCTGCCAGGTCATCCCATGGGTTCAGAGAAAGTAAAGGGGCAGATCTGGGTCAGCAGCTGCTCCCATTCCAGAGCAGGCGATGAGGACACTGTTGGAGAGGTTTTGTGTCAGCTGAATTCCTTTTGCTTGTGAAAGAGAATCTTTTTTCTAAATATCTATTTGTACTTGATGGATCATTCTGTTTTAATATCCTTTCAATACTGGATCTGTGTAGAGGACTAGAATAGCTTCAGAATGAATGTATGTTTGGGCAAATAGGAAATTATTTCTTGGTAACCATAGTAGTTGTGTAAGAGATAGTAAGATCTAACGCAGAATTGCCCAATATTTTTCTATGAAGGGCAAGATAGTTATTAGCTGAGGCTCAGTACACCGTGTAGTCTGTTATGTTCCTTTTCTTTTTCTACAAATACTTAAGAAATTAGGAAAAATCATCCTTAGCTCTCAAGGACTAAATGAAAACAAACCATGGACAAGATTTGGCCTGTGGGCTATATTTTGCAACCTTGGCTTAGAGAAACAGGCAGGGTGGGGCAGAATAATGAGAGGATTTGAGTTGAAATAGCTCTATATTTGGTGTGTGGGAGACAGAGGGAGCAGTACAGAAAGGCAAGATGTGGACAGTGAGAAGAGGCAGAGGCTTCTCTGGCTGTTGGAAGCTGTCAACTTCTGAGTGCCAACCGGGTCATTTCCGGGAGACTGCTGCAGCTAAATGCACCCTGAGAACCAGTTGAACACAGCTTTGAGAGGAGGCTGCAGGAAAGTTTGCTCGCACACATACACATAGGGTTTTCCTGGGCACTGGACAGAGGGATGTCCTGCTTTGCCACATACTGAATGAGCCTTGTAACTTGCTCGCTCACTGCCCTGCCGGGTAAAGCTCCTGTTCTCTTTCAAAAAATTAGTTTTCAGCACTATGGATATGTGTTACTTAGGTAGAGGACTTAAACTAAGATTACTAACAAGTGAGAAACTTCAAGGACTCTACAAAGATAGTACTGAATACAAAGCAGCCCATACAAAGCAGGCGATAAATTGGTACCCATTGACAGAGCTACTGTATTCCTCAACTCAGAAATAATAGTATTTGCCTTGTCCCCTAGCCACATAAATGCCCTGGTAAAGTTACTTGTAAAGATAATGCCCTGAGATTGTATAAATGTTTAACATTTCATTTTATACTGTCTTTTGGTCAGTTCCTGCTACAGTCCTTGAACCTGTTACTCCTATAAAAGAGGCTCCAGAGACAGCATTGGGTAATGCTACTTTTTGACCTTTACCAAACTTTTTTTATTCATTGTTAAGCTTGTTGCACTCTGATGTTACTCATTTGCATTCTGTAACTGAGGGAGGTTTAACAGGCACAGAACAAATTGCTGATGCTTAAGAGAGTCATGCCTGAGTCTATTTTGAGATATCTTCCTCCTTTGTAACTTTAACTTTTTTATCCCATCTTAGGTTTTGGCTTATCTAGACTCCTCTTTTAAGCTAAATTTCATAAATCTTGGGAGTATCTGTGTAACGGCCCTACCTCTGAGAATGGCATAAAAATTCTGGGGAAGACAATCTGGTGCACAAGACCCTTCATGCAGAAATTTTTTTAAAGAATATTCTAGGAGCCATAAAACGCTGGCAAGGTTCATTTTGAAGTATATGTCGACAAAGTGCTTTATAAATTTTTTTGTTTGTTACTTCAGTTCCTGTTACAGATCTTGAGCCTGTTACTTTTCCAACTGAGACCTCTGGGACAACAGTAGGTAAAGATCCTTTGCCATTTTCTGAGTGCTTTTGCTGTTCATTGTGAAGCCCACTCAGTCTTTATCTCTATGACCACCCTCATCCTCTGTTGTCATTCATCACTTCCTTCGTTTAAAAATACTGCAGCCTCTTAAAAACCAGTTCTGTTGTTTTTACGAGAGCAGGCATGAGCTTAGTTAGAAACATTCACTGCCATCTGGCACATCTGAAGTTTCAAATTAGCTATCTAATGCTTTGGTGGATGGTGTTCTCTCTTAAAACTGCGGTTAAAGCATATGGGGTCTATTTCTAACCTCAACTGATCAGCAACAATAGCTACTCTTATGCTTCTTTGCAGATCTAAATTTCTAGATATTTGAACTATTTGCATGGTACGTTTGTTTCTCTGCAATGATTATTACTAATCTTACAAATAAGAATTATCCTATTACGAAATTTTGAAGTATCAACTTCTTCCTTACTGTGACCACGGTGCTCTTTCCTTGTGCCAGAGTCAAGTACTACTACTATATCATTTTTCACCAAGTGTTAAAGTTCTGAGTAATTACAATTGCTAGTTTTCATACCCAGAATGAGCAACTTAACACACATGACATTTCCTGAAAAGCACATACAGTGCTAAAAAGAAGACACTTTGGTATACATAGTAAAAATTTCAAACTACAAGTCAGTTTCCTGGAGTTTTAGAAAATCTAACAAGTCTTAGAAAAACATTTTCTCAGTTTCCAAACCCCCAGGAGCTACAGTAACACAAGATTTTCTTTCTTTAGCTACTAAAGTGTCACAAAGAACTCGTCGTCCACGTCCCAGACCTAAAACCACAGCAAGTCCTCAAGTACCTGAGAGCAAACTGGGTAAATGTGTGTTTTATTGGTTTAAGGGGAGCACTAGTAGACTTTTCCCATGGGGGCCCAAAGCAACGCCAAGTTCTTATACTATGTATGAAGCCATAAGCCTCATCAGTAATGTCTCCTCTGTTCAAGAACCAAGGACATTACCACTGGATGAGATGAATCCCTTATTCTTTCTATGTGAGAGTCATCTTTGAATATGTGTTTATTATCAGATCAATGTGGATCTTAAAGATAATGCTTACTTAACTTTGCCAATATATTCAAGTAAACAAATTGTAAAGTCCTTGCATGTTCCTGGAGTGATACTGGCAACTGTGTGTGCAATGTTAGCAGTGGGAGACTTACTTCTGAAACAGTAGAGTTAAGGACATATTTGCATGATACAAACATTAAATAGTGACCTTACAAAAGATAAATCTCAAGGTAGATTGAGCTTAGACCTTGGACCCATTGTAAGATTTGGATGAATGGAGGGAGCAATAAACCAAGACAGAAGAACTGGACACATTGGTGGTAGGGTCAATCAGAAGATAGTTAAGTCTGCCTGGAACAATCTCTCCTGCTTGTGGGTCATCTAAACATGGTTGCTGAAGGCTCCATTCATCCAGTTGAAAAGGCTTTTGAGGACCTGATTCCAGAGCTTAGATTTGATGCAAAACATCAGTTGTCTTTGATTTCTACTTTTTCTGGACTCAGATTGGACAGATGATCTCCTAAGTATTATGCTGAGTGACCATCTTTATTATGACTTCTTCTGTGCCATGGTTTGTACAGCAGTCTCAGACTCATAGCATAGATGAGTTCTTAGCCAGAGCAGCATGGTATTCTATATTGATTGGTTTTTATATCTCTGTAAAACGTTCACTGTCTATTATACATGTTTACTTAAGTATAGGTTTATGAGATTTTCAAAAGAACTTTTCTAAGTTAATGCATAAAAATATTTTCTAGTACAGGGTTTTCCACAGTGTTAATGTGTATTAGTTAAACCCTGGGGGAATTTATGTTGATTTTTTTTTAAGATACTCAGAATAATTAAAAGGTTAAATCTAAGACAGCCTAATGACTATCATTTAGACCAGCTCTACAAAAACTAGTCAAATACTCAAACTCAGTAAGTTATTTTTTTCTTTGTTTCTTTGCAAGGACTAATGTACAAGTAAAGCTTGTTGGTTGTTCTGTCACTTCATATATTTTAAATTTTCTTTGGTTTACTTTATTATTTTTTGGTCAGTTCCTGCGACAGTCCTTGAACCTGTCACTCTTAGACCCGAGGCCCCAGAAACGACGTTAGGTAATGCTACACTGTTTTCAACAAATCTTATCCCACTATTGTCAGACCCAGAGTTTCCTCTTGCTTTTTGTGACAATAGTTTCATTCTTTATAACTGCTCATTTACATTCTTATTAAATTTCTGAAAACTCTTAAATTACTGTTTTTTTTTTAAGGGAAACATTAATTTAGGAATTTGTCATATAACTTATTCAAAATGTGTCATGTTTGAACAGTTTTCGGTAAGACTTGTTTTCAAACATGTCAGGGGTTTCAACCTTTTAGACAGATAAAGACTTCAACAGTTATCACAGGCTCAAGGCCCTTCATTATACATCTACATTTCTACCATATTTTTCCTATTTGGATAGTATTTTCTTGTGTTGTTTCTATTTAGGTAATACATGTTCTGGCTTTGTTAGTTATATAGAAAATGTGCCATAGACTGAAAGATTATAAATCTCAGATTTAGTATGACTATTCATTGTCCATTAATATCAGTATTTTAGCCTCTTTGTTGCCTAGTCAATCTGCCTTATAGACCTTGATTATAAGTAATTTTTATTTTTTGAACTAAAAAGTGATATTTATCTTCAAAGAATCTTATATGATAAAAGAAAAAATACAAGTATGTGTTATGAAAATCTCAAATGGAAAGGTCAAATCTAAACAGTAGTAGAAAGTGTATGGTCATGTTTGAATTCCCATACATCCTACCAGTATAGTTCTGTAATAACCCAAGAATTTCTTCCCTCAGCTTCTAAAACATCACAACGGACACGTCGTCCACGTCCCAGACCAAAAACCACCCCAATTCCTGAAGCACCTGATTACAAACCAGGTAAACATGTTCCTGGTTTGAAGAGTCCCAGCAATCTAACCCAGCAGGGTCTCAAGAGTAGTAGCTGTTACTGTAGCTGTAAGGAGTGTGCTAGTGTGCTTCATAAGCACGAAAATACAATTGTGTTAAGTGGCATTTCCTAGTGTAGAGATGGCAGGCCTGTAGAAGGTAAAACTTGTGTGGCAATTGAATGACGTATTCAATTTTTTGTCACTGTGCACTTTCTTTACTTCCATTTAAATCTCCAGTATAAAACTACTTTAGAAAAACTATTGAGTTCAAATCAACATTTATAAATTAAAAAATTATCTTCAGTATATTCCTGTTCTTATTAGTACATTTGGGTGGTGTACATCAGATGTGAGAGAGATGTTTTGTCAAACCTGCAAGTGAGTTGAGAGCAACAGCCTTCCCATTAGATATAAGGTAAAATATAATATTAGATAGTGTTTACGCAAATATTATAAGATTGAGTTTTGGGACTTGCCATCAAGATTTTCTAGGTGCATAAATATCTGAAGCAGGAGAAGACAGGTTAAGAAGTCAGCATAGTACACAGATGAGTGGAAGGATGAAGAATAACAGAACCAGAGGGTACAGAAGTAAAAGCCAACATAGCAGAGATTCTTATTGTAATAATAGTGTAGAAAATTTTCACTTCAAGGTGTTATTCAAACTTTTCCAGATCTTGATTGTCCACAGACTCTATTGGTCCTGTTCACCTGTGATGAATGTCCTTAGGCACCTCTTGAAGCAGTTCAGATCTGGTCTGATGAGAATGGAAAGATAACCTATTTGATTAATTATTCCAAAGATAGTGTTTTAGCAATGCCAATACATCCCAGTTTCGCTTATTAGCTGTATTAGTATAAATAATTCTGACATAAATGCCTTGAGTTTTCTTTCATTTAAAAAGTTTATTTTGGTTTATTTTTAATGTTTTTGGTCAGTACCTACTGCAGTGCTTGAACCTGGTATGTTCAGAACTGAGACTTGGGTGACGACACAAGGTAATTAACATATTGTGATCATCAATACATCCTTTTCATTGTCAATCCCATTCCATCCATTTCGTAGCTACAGTTTCTTTTGCATCTTAAGACTATCATCATCACCCATTGTCATTCTTACATTCTTCATACTAAAGTCTTGAAGAGTCTGACTCTTAAACCAAGTTACCCCTTGTTTTGAAGAACTTAACCAAGGTCATTTGCTATGCACGCCAGCACCTGAAGTTGTTGTCTTTTGTGGTTTTCTAAAAGATGTTCTATTAAAACTGGGATTAAAAAGTAATTCTCTTGAAGCTGGTAACATTTTGGTATCAGGGGGTTTCTTTATGAACATATGATTCTACATTTTAAAAATGAGGTATTTAGTTTTTTATTTACTAGTTAATTAAATGGATCTTACTGAGCAGATCATCAGAGTTTGTATCTTGCTATCACCATCACAGTATTTTAGCAGTGATTTTAACCATTTTCGGTATGAGTGCTAGGAATGACTGTTCACTTCTGAAGTTAATAACTTAGCTTTCTATATGACTCATTCCCATTGAACTTCTAGTTGTAAAAGAAGACATACAAGGATGCAGGTTCTAATTAAAGAGATAAATTACCTAGAACATGAAGAAATCAGTTTTAAGAGATCGAAAGCCACTGTGTATCATTTCTGAACTAAACTTGCTAGTAACTAAGGGTTTTCTTTCTTCAGCTCCTAAAACATCAAAGCGAACTCGTCGTCCACGTCCTAAATCTAAAACCACACCAACTACTGAAGCGCCTCAAACCAGACCTGGTAAATGTGGGCTTTAGGTTGAAGGAGTGAGTTTTAGTGCTCTTGGGAGGCTGAGATTGTTGCTGCTCATGGAGTGATGGCGCTGTGGGCCAGCGTGAGACAGCACAGGGTCATCTGTTGAGCCTGGTACTGCTGAGTGAGCAAGAGAGGCTGAATTCCTTGTCTTTCTGCATAAGGACCTTTCCTTGAATTACATATTTTATTGACTTAGTTCATTCAATTCTTTTATTAAGAACAAAGTGTCTTAAATAGAACCAAGTTTTGCTATTTCAAGAAACTGTTGAGCACCATTCATCTCCCAAGCACACTTATGGCTGTGAGCATATCACAGCCATAGGTGACCTGCTTTTTTATTTTCTGTCTGTAGTATAGTCAAAGTCAAGGTCTGCCCCAATATGAACATTCAAAGACTGAGCCAAAGATTGTGCAAATCAAGCCTGATCTTCGGTGTTTTGTTTGTTTTGGCATAGATTAGGAATACCTATGAACTCAGAAATGTTAGTGTGGGACAGGAGAAGGAGTTGCTGAATAGAGGCAGAACTAAAGGAGGTCAAGCAAACAGCACAGGCTTCCTGGAACAAGGGAGGTCCTGTTTCACGATAGCGATGATATTGCCAAATTTCTAAGAGTCCAGAAGAGCAGCTGAAGAAAGTCCTTGAAAGTCTGACTCAGAAGTTCAGAAATATCAATGATTTCCCCCCAAATCTCTCTCACCTGCGCATTTTTGTGATTCGAACAGGCAGCTGCTTGAGGGAGCACCACTCACTGTGTGGATATTTCTTATCCTGACTTGTTGAGTTCCTTTGCCTCAAACAAGGTCATGACCTGTTTTCAAAAATGATTTCTCAGTGAGATGAGTGTGCTTCACTGCCTTACTCTGGCTGTGCCACCCTTTAAACATAAAGGCAATTTATTGTATTTATGTCCATTTGGATATGCTATTTTCTTAAAAGTCAGAATACTCCTAAGTATATATATATATTTATATACTTACATAAATATATATTTATACTTGTAAGTATGTGTTTATACTTACAAGTATATACTTGTTAAAATGTTTAAACAAGTTTCTTAACAGTGTTCTACAAAAGCTGAGATTAGACACTTAGATACCCAAGAGAGTATCATGTTTTCTTTCTTGAGATATTTATGAGTGGTTAGGCTATGCCTGTCTCACAAAAGAATCTTTACCTAGCTCTGAAGTGACCAAATCCTGAAATAATAAGAACTTAATTTCAGAAAAAAATTAAACACTTGCCACAACTATTTATTTCATTGCCTTTGATTAGTTCTTATTACAGATCTTGAACCTAGTACTCTTAAAACTGAAAGTCCAGGAAGCACGGGTAATGAGAATGTTTTGTCCTTCCCATAAATGCTTTTCTTGCCCATTGTCATGCTATTGTCACCACAGGTTCATATGTATCTTAAAACCATTCTATCATCCTTGGTTATCATTCAGCAACAGCCTTTATCTTAAGATTATGCTAACTTCTATATCAAGATATCTGTGGAACTTAAGAGACCTGTTCATAAGCTAATTTCAGGGCATCACACTGTCATGCAACTTCAGCTTCATGATCATGTGCATATGTTGAGACAGTATTGACTATTTTATGCTTATCCCTCACCACTTGTAGAAATGCCATGTTTCTTTTCTCCTACTTTTATTGTGTTAGGATTTGTGATTGGTGGATCAGCACATTTCAAGTAATGACATTTTCAGTAAACTGTTAAATTTTAAAATATGTCTAAGTCTTGAAAGTTCCAATGACAGGCTTTTATTTTTCAGTAAAGTCACTCTTTCCACTCTAAATTTTAAAAATTTTTTTTTATTTTATTAAGTATCACTTTGAAATTTTGACCAGCACAGTCTATTAAGTTATTCCTAAGTCTTATGCTCGAAAACATAGAAACTCATTATTTTATCTGTAATAATGTCATTGTTAGACATTGATATCTGTTTGTGTCCAAGCTAATGGACTTTAAAACACTTTTCCACTGGTTATAAAAGTATCATATAAACATGAAAAAGTTTTAATCTCAAAAAGTTTTTGAGATTAAATAGGTACTTAACCATGGTTTTGTCATATTTGCAAAGAACAGACATTTTCTTCCATTTTATTTAAATTATAGCAAGAATCTCCTTTCTCTCATTTCTGAAGCTTAAAAATTGACTTCTGAAATTACTTCTACAAGTAAATTTTTTTTAATTCTTTTGACTTCTTATTTTTGGCCAGAGTTTCCTACAGAGCTTGAACCTGTCACTCTTAGAACCAAGGCTCCAGAAACAACATTAGGTAATGGTTTTCTGTATTGATCAACAGCTTGCTCCTGTTTCTTTTCAACCCATTCTGGCACCATCATCATCGTCAGTATGATCATAGCACCATCTTGTCACTTCTTTTCTACTTTACTTTCCTCTTAAGGGAATGGAAGACTCTTAAAATAATGTTTCAAAGGCTAAGCAAAGACCTAGGCCCAAGTATCTATATACCATTCATCTTATTTGAATTTGTGTCATGTACATTTGTTTAAATAGTGCTCACTTTTAAAAATGATTTTAAGCACAATTGGTGTTACCTCATTCTCTACACCAAGGTATTAACAGTTCAAATGGTACACTGATTCTTTGGCATATTTAAATTTCTTAATATGAGCCTACCTCCTCAACTTTGGCTCCTGAACCTTACCTTATCTTGAAGTTAGAGAATTCTGAGACTTCTTGATTTAATTTTATGTGTGAGTTTAATCTCGAATCCTCAATATTTAAAACAGCAAAATAGGAGAAAATATCTGTGCTTTTAAAAAATGTCTTCACATCAAGGAAATATATTTTAGAAAGTCTAGAGCCTTATTTCTGAAACTGTCTTCAGTAGACTAATCTCAAGTTTATTCCTTCAGTTGCTAAAGCATCACAACGAACACGTCGTCCACGTCCTAGACCTAAAATCACCTCAAGCCCTGAAGTACCTCAGACCAAACCGGGTAAATGTGTTATTCCATGGTTTGAAGGGTGAGCACTAGCTGCCTTCCCTGTGAGGTTCCAAAGCACTGCCCCAAGTGGGAAGTAACTTGTACCCCAGAGTCAAAGCATTAGGTGAGGTTAGCAGCTGCTTCTTGGATAATTTTCTTTAAACAGGTGGTTGCATCAAGGTTGACTTAGTCACTTGCAGTTTTTTACTTCTTTGTACTTAAACATATGATCTACTTATGGTAGCCACATTTGCATAAATATAGGTATTGTTTTAAATTCCAGGAAATGGGACAGGTTACTTCCATATATTTATTTTCATATGTACTAACTAAACAGATTTTCCAAAGTTCTTTTTTCAGTTAAAATCAGAAAATCAAACAGGAAAACCTCACGCTGCCTGTACTAAGATGTGTAGCAGAGTTCCAAGCTTCTGCAGTAATTATTCTTAGCTCCAGCTTGACCAAATCTTTAAAAAAGACACTCTACCTTCTCTCATTTAAAAATGTTTGTCATTTGAAACAACCATTTTGAAAGAAAGATGAAGACTTGCTCTGTGTGCTTAAATGTTCTCATGTTCATGTTATTGCTTTTGGCTAGTTCCAGCTACAGGCTTTGCACCTGCTATTCATAGTTCTGAGACTCCAGGAACAGAATTAGGTAATAATTTTTGTGACCTCGTTAAGTGCTTTTTCACTCACTAAAACCTGCTTCATCACTGTCATGAGCGCAGTCGCTCTTCTCTTAACTGCTGTTGTCATTCCCATTTTATGCTTCACCTTGTAAGAAGTCAAGATCCTATTGTTATTCATGTACACCCACTTCAGGAAATATTTCTGCCATAAAATCCCCTTTAAAATTTCATTATGTGATTCAGTAAAGACTGAAGATCAAGTAGCTTCCCTTCTGTTTGGTATTTAGCTCTCAAAAAGAGTTAACAATTAAATTCTATGAATATTCACTTTTCTCTCTTCTATTTTAGGAGAGGTTTCCCTTTGGTAGTATTTTTTTAAAACTTGCTTCCTGGAAGTGCCAACCTCAGTGAATATGTTGTTCTCTCCCATCATCCATAAAGTTGCTTATTCTTTATTCTCTTCATAGTTTAACAGTGGTACTTGATCTTTACTGAAATATCTTTGTATACATATTACATTTATTAATAGACAGTCTTACATTTTTGTCTCCAAAGGACCCTCAGTGATAGAAGGAACAGATTAGATTGGTATGTAGTAGAGTTTGATATATTTTAGAAAACACGGGTCCATACATAATGCTCTTGATTTCTAGACCTACAAATACTCCAAGATTTCCCTTCTTTAGTTTCAAAAATGTGGAAAAAAACAAAACTCCAATTTGCTCCCAAACTTTAAATTTGCTGAAGCTTCTCAGCTAAACCAAGAAAATTTGTGGTTTCTGGTGTCAGGAATTCTTCCAGGTCATTGCAGCTGAACCCCAGAGTAACCAAGATGTTTCTTGCCTTCTCACCCGTCTCATCTTGGAGAGAAGGACGGTGTGACCACCACTGCTGCACGTACAGGGCTCTTGTTAGGGATTTATTTGGTAACCAGGTTCAACGTGTGCTCTCCATTAAGATAGTCTCTGACAAAAACGCATCATAGTTAATCTCTTTAACATTCTGTCCCATTCATCTCTTTGTAAAATAGCATGGCTTCCTTACCTTGTGTAAAGAAACACTTCCTTGTTTTCTGTGTTGCCGACATCATGTTAGCAGTGAGTGGGGATGGGTAAAGAAAAAGGTAAAAGCAAAAGTAAGGGCCTGTTTCACCTCTCAAACAGTAAAATAGAGTTGTGAAGAAAACTTGTCAGGACTTTCTGAGCTATAAGACAATTTGCTTATACAAAAACAATTTGGTAAAATGAATAGTGAAAATATTCAAAGGAATCAAGGATCTATGTGGGCTGAAAGAGACTAGCTACCTGGGTTTTGAAATAGGATTTAAATTAGTGGATGTAAGGGTGGGGACAGCAAAAATAAGTGTCAATATTCATTGAAAATATCAAAGATGGTGGTTAAAGGAATATAGAAAAAAAATTCCTAGATGGTCCTGAACAATTTTAATGACACTATCAAGACATTAGCTATAGATCTTTCAAAGACCTTATCGGAATTTAGATGTACATTCAGTAGTCACTGAAATCTAATCCTTCAGATAGGCCTTGTTTTCTGTAAGAGAGTCATCAAATTTTGTATGTGAAGAGCTACTAAGTATTTTAGACTTTTCAGGTCATTCTGTCCCTGTCATGGCTACTCAATTGTGCTATTCTGGCCTGAAGGCAACAAAATCAATATGCAAATGACTTGAATCATTTTAGTTGTGGGTGTGGTCATCTTCCATTCAAATTTTATTGAATTTTATAACATTTTCATATGTCGTGAAATATTATTCTTTTTAAAATTTCTTTTAATTAAAAAGTTTTTTAGCTTACAAACCAACCAGGCAGATGGCTAGATTTGGGAGGGCCATAGCTTACCAATATCTGCTTTCAATAATGTATACTTACATCACTCATCAAATCGCACTGTGATTTTTGAGAGTTTGTGCATTTGAATTCATTGCTACCTTTGTCTAAAACCTATGGAATCAGTTATCCATAATTTCTTTGACAATTAGACTCTCTTCTTTCAGCTCCTACTGAACTGCAAACTCTTATTTTGAAACCAGTGACATCACCAAGCCTAGAAATGACACAAAGTCAACCTGGTAAATAGATTGTTTTATCTGTCTGGGCACACTATGAGCTTCAGAGGACATTCTCCAAATATTTTATCTAACTATTAAAAAATGCAAAAGAGCTACACTTAGCTCTCTAGTGTACAATGCCTGTTCCATGAATGCATGCATGGTGTTAAATTAGTAACATGCTCTGATCATGTTGTCATTTCAGCTACGTGGGAATACCTTATCCCCTGTATTTGTTCTATATATCATGTTAGAGAATAAGCACATAACTCATTAAATAGTCAACAAAACTGCTTAAATGACCTTTATCCTTTATTCCTGTTTTTCCACTGATTATACTTGTGATTTTCTTTGGTGATGAGCTAAATTTGTGCTGTGCCATGTGAAAAGAATGCTAATTAATGTGCTCAAAAGAGAAAATTTTACTTTGATAACAATATACACACCATGGACCTGAACACACTGCCTTTCAAAATTGAAAATAAATTTAAAAAATCATTCTTTGCAATGTTGCTTCTATTCTGACATTTATTTTGGATCTTGGGTTTTTTTTTCTCCCAACATAGGATTATAATTTATTTTCATCTTCTTTGTGTATCTTTTAATTAGCTAAAGGGCACTTTGGTACTCATGTTGAAGGTACAAGGTACGGTTATTATGATAACCTGCAAAACTTATAAAATTGTGAACTCGTTGTTAGAGCTTAGTGTTAATGATACTGTTATAACTTTAATCATGAGCTCTCATTAGGTGCCAGGTGCTTTTCTAAATATTTAGTTTGTATTAATTCTTTCTATGCTCACAACAGCGCATCCTTGATAGATTTGTACTGTTTTGTGTTTTTTGCTAGTTTCTGAAGTCCTGGAACCAATTACATTTAGCACTGAATCATCAAAGGAATCTATAGGTAAAAATGCTCCTCAATGGGAAGTCTGGTGTATGTGCTTTTCCATTTCATTGCAGAAATCATCTTGGGTATCATGCTCTGTGACATGTCATACTTCCCCATGTCTAGTCTGCGCTCATCTTGTGACTCTAGAGGGTTAGATGTTACATGTAGCACATTGTGTTGGTGTTTGCTCCATGGCTGTGTGGGTTTCATAATTTCCTTATTTAGTTTCCCCTCTAAATGCAAAAATTTATTTTTCTGATCACTCTTTAAATATACCCAACCTATTTTTCATTTTCATATGAATTTTAGGACTCATCTCCATACTTTCGAGGAACTCATTCTTTTTCTCACTAGAATGCTTAAAAATACAAAAGGAAATGAAATTACCTGCTTTGCTCCATGTAGAACTGCCCGTAGTCCCTGACAGTTACTGCTTTGTGTTGCCCCATAAAGCACAGTTTTCCTTTCTTGCCATCGCTTCTGCCCATCTTAATAAGCTACATAAATAGTATCCTGATGGTTGTATCTACTTCACATGACTAACCTCTGTTTTCAAATCAATCACAGTGTCCGTTGCAGTGTGCTACAGGCTGGCACCACTACTAACCAGCCATCCTGTTTCCTTCCTAGCACCGTCTGAAAGCGATTATGTATATGCCACTGCCAAAGCACCACTCAGGCCAGAGGAGCCAAAGACTGAAGGTGGTAAAGGATTTAATGCTTTACTTCATTATTTGAAAGATTTTTAATTAGCTTCTATTGTGTCCATGGCAACATGAAAGTTTAAGCTTGTTTTCAGCAGCTGAATTCATTTGCAGAACTCAACTTTCAAAATCTTTGGTTTTCACTTCATCATCATATCTGTAAAAAAATTAGCATATTCTTACAAGAATGAGGTGTGCTGATATTCAAGAAAGAAACACTTGACTGTAATTTAACATCTTACTATTTTAAAAACTGTTCTCCCTTGTTTTGATGCAGTTGTGGAATCTATTACAAATGTGCCTGCACCACCTGCGGCTATGTTAGGTACTGGCACACTCCCCGCAGCTGTGCCCTTAGGGCACATCCCCTGAGAGCCTCGTGCTCTCTCACTCTGGCCCCTGCTGCAATCCCCTCATCATCATGGCAGTTAGCACTGCCCAAGCTCTATCCAAGCTCTGTCCGTTCATACCATTGCCCACAGATCTCTTCTTCTGGTCTGTGTCTAGGCGTCTCCCTACTCATTCAGCAAAGCTATCAAATCTAAAGCTGCTTTCTCCTAATATTGGCCACTTGGTATTGTGCTGAATACTTCAGATAATATTTTTTGTATGGTGTAATCATCCATTTATACTTCTTGCCCTAGAAACATACTTCCCATTAACATTCATTCCACCACATTCATATATATGGTTTTTTATAAGTGAAAGTCAATGACTTTTGTCTGGCTCAAGCTTTTAAACTTTGTTTTACTTTGTTTTTCATTTATGGTTACTAGTGAGTATCTTTATACTGTTATCAGAATGACAATGGAATGCAGATTTTTTTTAAAGTAAGGGATTTGCTTACTTTGAAAGTATTTTATAAACTCGAATCTGTCTCCAGGAATGTTAAAAACTAAGTGCATGATGTAGAACTACTACTTTGCTGCAGACATGCAATTTTCTTTTTTAAAATTTTCTTATTACTATCACTTCCGCCATCTGTAACCAGGGTTTGTGAAGCACTAGAATAACCCAGAGTACTTTCCTTCACTTGCCATAGAAACAGCTCTCTGCCTTCCCAAACCATAAAACTATGCAGGCCAGATGAGCCTCAGACTGAACTCAGTACACATATCTTATATGTCATAAGAAGGTGAGGTTTGCAGAATGTGTAAGCATAGGAGCAGAAAGACAGAATGGCACTCTTAGACATCAGAGACCTAACACTCTTTCTGCTCAGTTTTTTGGTGGGTGATCCTACCTTCCCATTGCCCCACTTCCTCTTCCACCTTCTATCCATCATCTGTAGACACTCTTACCAATGCTGTGAATATTCTTTAAGATACACCTCTCTCAGCCAGTCTGCAAATGTTTCATATGGGAAATAGTAATATTTCTGGGAAAGAGTTTCTGAAAGGGATATATTGACTGTATACATTTTATTCATTGTCTTCTGAACTACCATTTAAACATTGCCAACTAAACCTTTGTTTAATTTTTTATCAAAATTCCACATTAACTATATTAACTGAATGTGTCAGTTATCTCTAAATTTCCCGAAGGTGTTTTTAATAGCTGTAATATTTTTGAAATTTCCAGTTTTAAATACTGTTATTGCTACTCACAGTATGCCTTTATTGGAAAATAGTCTTTATTAATCTTGGGGGAAGCATATAGCCTATCTGTAAGAACTGCAGCAAGCAAGAAAATTGAATCAGAAAATCACACAAGTTAAAAAAAAAAAAAAAACTTTAGAACCATAGAATTTTAAGATTGGAAATGCTTTTAAAGACCTAGAACTTTTGATAGATAACCTGAGTTTATATACCCAGTGAGTAACAAACTCTCCAGGTTCCAGACTCCTAAATCAGTGTAATCTCTAATATAATTCGGTGTTCATCTCTTTGCAGGTGAGATTACACTGAAACCATTGCATAGCATTCTTTTATACAAACTTCCAATATCAAATAACTTATTTTCAACAAGCTTTCTTTCAGTTCCTGAAACTCCATTGACTTGGATGCTGCTTTATATTCTCTTATTTCTTTATCCCAAACTTTAGTTCAGCCAAGTGAGGTACTTCCGTAAAATATAATCTTGCATTTGCTAATTCTTTTTATTCTAGCAGGATGTACTTTTAATTTTCTTGGTGAAGACACAACCTGTTTTACACTGTTCTTTTTTCCAAAGAACTTCTTTGGAAATTGTGCAGTAATGGAGTAACTTTCTTCGGTAAAATATCCTGTCAATATCTATTCAATTTCGTTTCCCTAATGGGATCAATATTTAAGCTGTATTTAATAATATTGTTTCCAAAAGCATTTCTCTTAAAATGCATTCATTTTCCAGGTTTTTTTTCTTTTTGGAATACAATATGCTAACTTTGTTTTTTCATTTACAAGAAATTGTATTTATTTACATTTAAGATATTATACTGGGATATTAATTTAATATTAATTAAATGGTGTTAAATTGTCATTGCATGAGTTCTTATTACTATGAAATTTATTTTTAACCATTTAAATGATATTTAAAGTAAATATCTAAAATTTCAACAAGTTCATTTGTCAGCAGATTATTTTAGACACCATTAGTAAGTGCCTTCTTGTTTTACTTCATTTATCATTGCAAGAAAATTATCTGCATATACTTTTTGACTCTTTGGAAACTTTAACAATCTAATTACTGTGTATGTAGGTCTTCAGCAAACATCTTGGAGATCCCAACAACTTAGACATTATGATTTTTAAAGTTTCAGGAGTTCCGAACCTGTTCCTTTTCTTTTAGCTACCAAGCAGATACAGCGTTTTCCTCCCAAACCAAAAACATCTCCACGTCCAAGAATCCCACAAACACAGACAGGTAAACTTATACTTTATATTTTGACCTGAGAAGTTTCATGTAAATGGGGCTAGTTATTCTATTGAATAATAGTAAGTTGGATCTTTAATCCTTATATAAGACCAGTCTTCCTCTGAAACCTAATACATATATCTGTTTAGACTTTATCAAAAAGCATATTATTGGATCAGATTTTTGCTTAAAAAAATTACCTTTTGCTGCATTATTTGAGAAGGGGTTGGTAAAGAAGAGAATTTCTTGAGATTAAACTGCCTACTACATAATTGTGTGTATATAGAACTGAAGTATATAGGCCAGTGGTGTTGGGGTGAGAGGATTCACCAAAGACAGAAAGGAGAGCAGAACAGGTTGATCTGCTGATATACACTGTTAAGGGAAGCAGCAGGAAGACAGGAGAGGTCTGCTGTGCCATGTGGGTTGGGAATGAACTTAGGCCATAGCAGCGATAGCACTGAGATTTAGCCCCTAACCCACCAGGATGACCCTTACCTATTTTTTATTTTTTTTTACTTTTCAGTAAATTTTATTCTATAACATGCTATGAAGTTTTAAATAATTATCCTCTCCTAGTTCAGAGTGATTATACAACTGCTTTGTTGTTTTGTTGTATAATTTTGATATGACCCAAGCAAGAGTTCTACTCTAGAAACTCTATTTGGATGATAAGCTTTTGCCCTAACTTCTCAACCAAGATCTTACTCAGTTTCTCCAACTGCCTCAGCAGATTTCCATGGGCTACCATAAACTTGACATGCCTCAAATAAAGCTCATCATTTTTTCTTCTTTTCAGTTTCCCACTTGAAAACATGCCAGGTTCTAAGCATGTTGCATTTGATATTTTACTTCTCATATGGTCCCTGCAGTCCCTTGTTACTAAGTCTGGCTCATTCAACTCTTACAAATATCTAATCCCTAGCAATGATCCTACTCCAAGCAGCTATCCTGTCATGCCTCGTCTGTTATTTGCCAACTGACCTGCCACCTCCCCTAATTTCAGATCATATCATTTCTTGAGGCATTAATTTAGTCACTCAACAAATACTTGCATGCTATGTCTCTCAGAATGTGCTGGGCTTTGAAGATGAAAACATAATCACATCCTTCTTACTCAAGGAAGTTAGTCTAAGCCATCCATCTACATTTAAATTTATCATGTATAATGGCCTGCTTCTAAAAAATATATGGGGTGCATGCAACAACCCATTTTACTAGGTAAGGAATATTCACTACCGTGAATAATATGGATAAAGGAAAATGTTAGCAACATAAAAAAAAAAAAACTTGATCTAGGTAGTAATTTTGAATTCCCAACACAAATCCTTTCATCATGTCTCAGTATCCCTATCCCTAATGGGGGGGGGGAATCCCTGAAAATCAGGATATACTCACATTCTTCAATGACAAATTTCTATGATACAGTTTTGACATCATTTTGACATTTCACATTTGCTTACCCTGTAACCATCTTTTGAGTTACGGACAAGTTTACTATTTCTACCTTGAAAATGAGAAACAAATTAAATGTGACCTGCAGAGCTGGGATATAGAGTCCAGGTGTGTGGACCAAGGGACATGAGCATTCTGTGCAAGTCACATCTCTGGTACTTAATATAATGTCACCACACCAATCTTTTAATGTGAAGCTGATAATTCCTTCTTCTCACCATTGTAGAGAGAATCAAAGGACATAATCCTTATTACAGAGTTTTTAAGCTGCAAATTGTGTTACAAATAAGTTAGACATTTCCTCTGGTGCCTATTACCCCAGAGGAACAGTTGAAGAAGCAGTTGTACACACCATCATTTAAAGATTTATTTTGATCCTAAGAATTACAGGGGATTGCGGTGGGGCCCCACCCACAACACTACATGTTGCTACTAAGCTGGCTGTATGCTTCTCTTACCCAGAATCATAGGGTTCTGCTTTGACCTCCCAACTCTATCTTCAAAGAAAGACATGGGGTGAAGAGGTTCAGATGAGAGTCAAGCAAAGATATCCAGGAAAGAATTCTTACATTAATCTGTTGTCTCTTCTGAGTTGAAGATCTTAAAAAATACTTCATCCTTCCTGCATGTTTATTGAAATTTTACAATTTCTGACTTTTTTTCTGAAAAAGAAGGTACCTGGGATTCTGGATGATCTCACTTGTATATGAAATACAGCGATACACTAAGGGTCAGTTAAAACCAAACCAATAATGAACACTTGCCACTGACTGCAAAATTGAGGTAACCAGAAGGGGAGGGCTGAGAGAGGGAAGAGTGGGGAATGCAGGGGACCCAGTGGAGCCTGGTAGAGGATGTGGGGGCACTTGCAGGAAAGTACTTGTAAATGCTTATTAAGATAAGCATTTGTGGAGACTTGACCCTATGACCCCAAAAAATGTAACAGCTAGACCAACTTTAGCTCAATAAATATAATTTTTGAAGCATCTGCAATTCTAATATATTTTTAAATCTTGGCTCATTTTTCATCTAAGTCCTGTAGTAACAATGTTTTGTCAGTGGTCAGGCTTATATGCCTTGTGTTAAGCATGACTAGAAATACTAAGAAATACAAGTGACTCATGATCTGAGTTCTCTTTTTCAACTCCTAAGGGGCCCCAGAATTTTACTCCAAAACCAAAAACATAACCGAGCCCAGAAGTGTCATATACTCCACCTGGTAATTGCTTTATTTCATGTTTAAGCCAAATGCATTCCACTGTCCCACTCTACTGCAATGAAATAAGAAAACTGATAGATGTGAGGTCAGCATTTCATTTCTGTTGAAGTATGTTGTCTCATGTGTGGTATGTTCATTGCAGAAGTCTGATAAACCTTACTGTTATCTTCAGTAAACTTCTGATCCACTCAAAAGCAGAATATCATGCCAATGGTAGATGTTTCTTTTAGAGCTCAACTTTTAATTTTCTAATTTAAAAAAAATGTCATTTAAGTGTCTCACCAACATAGGATAAATATTTCTGTTTTTTCCACAAAAATATGAAATGTTTTGTAACCAGAGAAAATCATGTTTAACAATTTCTTGAGTTCAAAAGTTTTACTCTATCCAACATGGAAGCTTCTTTCTCCTGCCAAATTTATGCAACAGGTACTAGAATCTTTTTCTTGGCTGTGATCTGAGAATCTTTTGACCATTTATGAGAGGACTAGTCTCATTCTGTGGGAATAGTCAGGATGGGAACAACATGAACCCAGACATTTTCTGTCTTACCAGCTGTCAAGATGTGTCGGTGACCCGAGGAAGCTAAACAGTTCTCTAAGAAAGCTACATTTTAACTAGATAATCTGAGAAAATACTAGTCTTTTTTTTTTCTTCTTAATGTTTATTTTAAAATTCCCAGGTGCTCTTAGAAAGCATATCGACTTCCAAAAGATTTGTGAAATACAGCTTGAAATGACAGCAATTTGCCAGCCAGTCAGCATTTGCATACTATAACATTTCTCAGGTGGTGTAAGTGGAAGGTTTATCATGCCATGGGGCACTCAGGTGTGTTGTTCATGGTAGTAGGCCAGAGAGGGGCTCCTCTGTCCTCAAGTCTAGAACTTAACATTTGGACCACTGAATGCAGCAGACAAGACTGTAAGCACAGAGCTTTAAAAAAAGCTGATCTTTCCGCTTCCAAAAGGTTGAGTTCTTGTTTTCTACTGCAGAAAAATGTAACAGAAATTAAGTCATTATAGATAGCAGCAGTAGATTGAAATGATTTTCTTTTCACTGGAAAAGGATATGTTGCTTTGGATATGACAATCTCACTTGAGCCAATATTTTTAGTAGTTAAACAATTCCTTTCAAAATGTCTATATTGGTCTTCTTCCACTAACAATATCCTCTAACTGGAAAGGTTGAGCATTGGAAGAACAGTACAAGCTTCTGTTGGGCCTCCATGGCATCAACCCCACTAGCTCTCCACGTCCACATGTTCAGTTAGAACTCTGTGTCTGTACTAGTTCTGCCCTTGTGATCCTCAGTGGCTTCTGGATGGGCTCCAGGATGTGATTCCAACAGTGATCATTCTAGTGCAGCCCTTACTATGTTTCACTTGCCTCACAAATGTCCAAACAGACTGAATTGTGTTGTGTTCCATCACTGGCTTGCATCCAGGTCCAGGTTTGCATCCTAGACCTTGCTAAGCCAGCATCTCTAGGTTATACCTCAAAAAAGAAGGCTAACCACATGTACATTGAATAGAGAACTAGACACTATAAGAAGTCTAAAAATATAAAATGTAACACTGAAATCAAGACAGTTATATTCTTTCACAATTTCTATCTTAAAAAATGAATCGAGATATGAGAAGTAACCAACTTAGATTTCTTGCTGCATCAAGTCAGTCAATCCTGGATTTACTGGACAGCTCTTCCATGCTGTGGTTTCTAGGCAAGTCAGATTTCATGACTCAAGACTTCAGAAAATACCTTCCAGCTGCTTCGTTTAGGTATCTACAACCTTAGTAAGGAATCTTATGCCATGTCTAGAACCCAAACAGAACTGGCTTTTTTCAGGTTCTACCTTGGAGGAATGATTCAGAATTATGAGCAGAGGATTCAGCCTAAGGTTGCCTGGCTCTGAAGAGCTGTGCCCCCTGGGAAGATCTGATTCTACCTCAACGACTATCTTGGTTCTGTGGTCAACCTCCTGGCCTCCAGGCACCTCCAGGATATACCTCAGTCACTGGAAATAAGCTTCAGGGAAAGTCCAGCCAGTTAGTCCCTTCAGCTGTTCTTGTAACCTACTCACTTTGATACATTCTAACTTGTGGCCACACTTCAGCATTTTTGCAGTTCCATTGTTTTCAGTTAAACAGGTGTTTTTTTCCTTCATATTTTTGTTATTACTAAGCTAATTAAGAACTTTTCTGAGTAATTCTTAAAAATGTACTCCATTATGTAAAATGATTGAACTAGCATTCAGTACAGCAGTTATGTGCTTAGATTATTAATTTAAAATATTGCCAATTTTTTAATGAGGGAGAAGCCAGAAAGAATATGAACAGTCACCTAATAAGTGTTTTTTTCTTTTCTCATTTTAGAAGAAAACACATTTAGAATTGAGCAGGCTAGGACAGTAATGGTTAAAATCCCCCCAATTTTATTTTTACTAAAACAGAAGCTGGGATATCAATTACCTCCTTAAGATCATACTCTTACCATCACTGTCCTTCAGTGCTTCTTGATCTTTATCATCCTCTTATTTTTTTAAAGTTCTTCCTAAAGCTGCTTTTTTTTAATTGAAGGTTCTTTTTATAATGTTAGTATTCATAAATCAAATATTTCTTTTTTTATCAGTTTTCCTAAAATGATAAGCTTTCTCATATATAAGAAATCAGAGCAAGAGTATCAGCAATTTGTTCAATATCAGTGTGCCTTTAACATATGTTAGAGAAAACCTCCCAGGTTAAGTCTCAGCACTATCACCTCTATAGCCTGAGTTCAAACCCCCCCCCCCCAGCCAGGGAGCTGACCCACTTGGCACAGCAGACCTCTCCTGTCTTGCCTGCTGCTCCCCTTTTGGTAAAATCTGCCTATTCTGCTCCCCACTTTGTCTCTGGCAAATCCTCTCATCCCCTGTACCACCCCAGTTTATCTATGCAAGAAAAAAAAAACACACACACAGAACATGTTGGTCATTGTCCACTCATAATTGTTAGTTGATTTTTCTTAGTGATAGTAGCCTTTATTCAAAAAGACAGCTAACGTAGTTGAACAGTAAGTTGTTTCAATGAGTGTAAACTATAGTACTGGTAAAACTTCTAAATAAAATCATGCTGTCTTCTCAAATTGTCATTTACATAGAATAGTTTACTGCTGCTGGAAGACTTAGGAATGCTTTTGCTTAATTTAAGAGAGAAATGCCACCTAGGGAAAAAGAAAAAATAACTTGGCAATTTTTGCATTGCAATTGAGCAAGTAGGAGAATGATTTCTATCTCTTCCTGTGAATATTTTTTTTCTTTCCTTTCCACTTTAGAAAGTCTGCTGTGGCAGTTTTTTAAATCATCACTTCATGGTTAAAAAGTGCCAGTTGCAGCAGGAGGAATCCTAGTTTAGATTCTTCAGTAAATTGTAGCAGGGAGGCTCCACATTGTAGTCTAGTGCTGGAACCACCTCAGGTGTTTGTAAACTGCAGGCTGCTTTGTCTGGTCATAACCTTGGCAGAACCAAATCAAAGTGCCTTCTCCTTCACCCTATCAATATTGTTTGGTTTATGACTGGAAATTCCTCCTATTTTACCAGTTGAGCACCCTAAAATACTACATGGCAAAAGTGAAATGTTCATCAGTGTAATAATGGTTTTTCTTGAACATTGCTGACCACTGATCTTTTTGAAATTTTTCTTTTTTTCTTAAAAAAGGTCCAGACTTTCAAGTTCCCCTGGATGCTATCTTTTAAGCTCAGAGAAATTCTGAGTCAAGTTTCTAGACTGTGTACCAAATTCTACAGCTATACTGGTACTTAGTGGCCTAGATGAAGAAAAACATGATATCCAACTTAAATATTCCCGAAAAAAAATTTTTTTAAGTATGCTATATAACCATTTCTATACTAATGTTTTCACCACTTACAGGTGGTGTTTGGGTAAAGGTTTTCTTCAGCATTTTCTGAGGCTGAGTTCCAGCGTGATTCCTAATTTCCCCCAGAATCATATAAGATGTTAAACATTGCAGTGCCTGCCACAGGGCCTCTGGTATTTATGAAATCTGTACTGTGGAAACATCCGTTGGGAAACATTTCAGTTGAGAGTAAAGCTGAGCAGGGCCACCTGGGGAAACTAAGTCAAAGAGCTGTATAAGCTTACCCTTGGAGGAGGTGTGCCATAGAAACCTAGTTCTAACGGTAGGTAAATTCCCCTGATGCTTTCCTCACAGAAAAGGAAGAGATCAAATTTCCAGTTTACTCTTTGATTTTGCCAAAATAAAGTGGGTACAGGCATTTAAAAAATGTAGTGGCTATCAGCTTTGAATATGAGGAGGTCTGTTTTTTAGCAGACATTTTTGTCCTTTTGTTTTCATGTTCTGATGTATTAGGGGACCTAATGGATCCTCCTACATGGGGGACCCCTATATGGGGTACATGATATATACTGGACAACATTCTAGAACTGACAAGAAAGCACATGACCAGCATTTACTGCCGAGCAAGCAGTCTCAAACTTTGCCTGTGGTTTCTTCTAGTAAGCAGTTGTTTCCTTTTGCTCTCTTTCTTCCCATAGTAACTGTTAGTGGTCTTTAGAATTAAATTTGGTTCTCTCAGATGTTTAAGAATTGTCTTAACAATTCTCTCAATTTGCAGGGTTTTTTTGTTTGTTTGTTTGTTTGTTTGGAAATGGTATATTTTCTGTTCCTATCAGCTGAATTTTAGTATGAATATCAAACAGTGCCCAAGTACTGGCAAAAACAGACTTATTATTTTGAAGACAACTTGAGGGGACCGTATTTTCTTGAGTTTAACTCCATTATTTCTTCTTTTTTTTTCCTCCACTAAGGGAACTTCAAAATGAGCTGTTACCAATTTTGTTTCCTGCCACTCGAGTCTTCCTACATGGTGGCATTTTTCCGTTTTGAAAAGAACGAGTATCTCTTGACTTTTTAACCTTTGTGAAACACCTTTGCATTCTGTGTGCTTTCTAGGATGTTTTTCTGTGATATACATGTGACACATAGAATGCCAAGTGTATTACAATCTTTTTCTTTCAGCTCCAAAAGATGTGCCCCTTCCCCATCAGCCAGGCCCAGAAATTTCTCAGAGTGAACCTGGTAAAATCAATTGTTTCATTTTCTCAATTAGGAAATGTATTATCCAAAAAATAGATTCTTAAATACATTTACTTATTCATATAGAACTGGGGTACAGGCCAGAGATGCGGAGGGTGAGAGGATTCGCCAGAGACAGAGTGGGAGCAGAACAGGCAGATCGACAAAATACACTGCTGAGGGGAGCAGCGGGCGGGGTCAGGAGAGGTCTGCCGCGCCATGTGGATCTCCTCCAGGGCAGCAGGGAATCGATCTCATGCAGAAGTGGCTTAAGCTTCTCATTGCTGTGCTTTAACCCGCTGCACCACCAGGAAGGGCCAGTAAATATGTTTTTAATGGTTGTTATATGGTAGAAATTCAGAGAGAATTATGAGTAGAAAATGTATATTTCTTGGGGGGAAGATTTAATCCTGCAATCTACTTGAAGTTTTTAATCTGGTTGCCATGAGAGAATACTACCTAATTAGTTTATCTTTGCTGAATAGAAGATAATGCTAAAATTGTAAGACATAATTACTTACTGTGCCCATTTTCTTCACCTTCTTTAAAATGTAGCTATAACTACATACCAAGTGTGATGGTATTATGTGAAATGTGTGGGATCCTACTCAAAACTTTCCCTGATGAGGGAGAGTTTCAAAGTAATGGCTGAACTAAGTTCCATGGGTGTCATTTTATATATATATTTAACTTCTTAGCATGTTTATTTAAATAGATGGGTGTAGAAACACAGGAACAATTGTTACTTCTCCAGGTAATAATGCTCATAAATATGTTTCTTTGATTTGCTTTTGATATAGTTCTGCAACCTGTTACCTTTAGAATTGACCTACCAGAGACAACAATAGGTAATGGTGTCCTTTATCAGTCAACTCTAATTGTTTTCTTTGCTACCATCAACATTGCAGGTCTTTCTGAGTGATCATACTGAAACATCATCTCTTCTAAAACCATTTTATTGTTATTTTTTCAAAATAAAAGAGCAGTCATTTCATTGTTTTAAAGGCTTTTCTCTGAAGACCAACTTGAGAAGCTCATTACCAAATCCATCTTCACCTACCTTATGTTATCTCCATGTACAAAATGATTCTAATTTATGCATGCATATCTGCCTACCATTCTCTTTCTGTGCAGTGATTCTCAGCTGTAGTGCTGCAACATATTAGCATCTGAAAAGTTGTGCAAGGTGCTAGCCAGTAATTAGTATAGGTGAAAATATTAAGATCTGTCAGTGGTTTATTTTTTCAAAATTGAGCCATTGCCAGGTGACCCTTACAATGATGGTCTCCTCATTGAATTTTAAAACCCTATATGGTCTCTTGTGTGGAAGAAAGGGACAAAGGTACAACTGACAGGCCAACTTTAGCAGGCATGGTTGAGTAATATGTCTGGCAGTGAATGGTGTTTACTAGATAGTAAACTCTGGTGGAAAGAAACAGTTGAGAACCACTTTTCTAACATTCCATTGTCATTTTCCTAGAGGTTCTGGGCACACTGAACTTTCTTCTTCATGACCTATTTAATGTTTTCCAGAAGCAATCTCATGGAATTCCATTCTGATCCAGTGCTAGCTTTTGAATCTGAAAGCTGACAGCCTTGGTACTTGTCTTTTACAGCTCCTTTAGAGACACGAGGCAGCCCTTTCATGCCTATGATTTCACCAAGTCCTAGTCAAGAGGAACTACAAACCACTCTGGGTAAATTTTGTTTTGATATTTCAGTCCATTGCAGACATACCTTGTAGGGATTACACCAAAAGTAGCCACAGGTATGTGTGTTCATGGATTGTTTCCAAACAATAGAGGGTCTCTTACTACTGTTATTAAAACTCATTTTTCTAAATTCTAATATTGGTTCTTATTTACAACCTAAAGTGAGATGTTTTAACACATCTTGAGCTATAAACTGTCCCTAAACAATGTTGTTACTTTCCCTGTACTTTGAAACTGCATCTGTGAAGAAATTTTTCTTCTGGCATTTTTTGAGGGTTTTATTATTACTAATTAAAGTGGTACAGAATGGGAGTTTAAAATAAAACTGTTTAAAAGGTAAGTTAACTTAGAGAACTCACCATCCAATATGAAGACAGGATTTGATTTAGTGACGGGAGTGCATTTCCTGAGCTGCAAGTCTGCATGTATAAAAAGGGTTCTAATGCCCCCCCTTTTTCCTTTAATAATATAATAGTTTATTTTTACATCATTTTGTGCCTTTTTCCATCTCAGTTGCAATCCCCTAGGGTTTCCCATCACCAGATCACCCATGTGCCATCAGCATAGTCCAGTGCATTTCCCTGCTTCCACTTTTTTTGATATCATTCCCCACTCCACCCCCATAAAATGTCTCTGGTATATGGCTGTTCATCATTATCATTATTTTCTCGCCTGCTCTGTTATATTCCTGCTATGAGAGAAACCATCTTGTATTTTTCCTTTTCTTTCTGGCTTATTTCACTAAGCATGATCTTTTCCAGTTCCATCCATGTTGCTGCAAAAGGCATGTGTTTCTTTTTTTGGTTGTTGAGTAATATTCCATTGTGTATATGTACCACATCTTTTTAATCCAGTCATCCATTTTTGGGCATTTCCAATTGTGAATAAAGCACCAATAAACATGGTAATGCCCCATTTTTTTTAATGAATAATGTTTTTTAAAAAAAAAACATTTTGTACATTTTTCCATCTCACTTGTATCCCCTTAGGCCATTTTTTTAAATTTAGACAAGTTACACAACTCATGTTAGTTAGATTGGAGCCAAATAGTCATCATTAGCGCTCCTGCAGTTCACCCCAATGTTGTACATTAAAAGTGTGGGAGGAAAGTGAGCAACAAATTTCTTGGGGGCATCAGGGCAGGCTTCCCAGAGGCTAGGTAGCATTTATAATGGGTCTTCAGGTGGATGTGAGAGTTGAAGTCAAAGTACACAAAGTTCTTTTAGGTTAAAGATAGGTGGGAAAGAAGCCCTGACAAGAAAATGGCAGCAGGTTAACCTGGTGAGCATGTGTTTGCCTGCAGAAACAAGGGTGAGTAAGGCAGGAAGGTTGGTAGGGATGAGCTGCCCATACCCTGAGGAGATGATTAAGGACATTTTAAATGAAGTCCATTTTGTACCTGAAGGAGGGGACATCCTATACCTCTAAATCATACACAACATTGTAAACCAATGTTACCTCAAGTAAATGAGTACATGAATGAAATAAAATCCTTTTTGGGAAAAAAAAAGTGTTAATTACTGACCATATACTCACTTATTGAAACTTGTACACCGAAAGTCAAAGTCACTTATGAAAGTGAAATCACTTTTCAAGAACTACTACTAGATATGCTAATTATCTAACAGCCAATCCCTTTTTAAAAATGTATGATGGTTTATTAAGACAAGAACCAACTGCCAGCTATCACAAACATCTCTCATGTGAACAGAATCCAGACTCCAAAGCGGGGTAGACAAAAAGATTACAGTGATTATTTGCACATGTATTTCCTTAGACCCATCATGTAACCAAGTGAATGGTATAATCGGTGATGTCTGCCTGGTGTCGTGATTGTTTCAAGATAATATGGGGTGGAAGTATCGCCATATTTTGTCAGTAAACATAGACTTTAATTATCACATGGAGTAGATTAAGGAAGATTTCTTATACGGCATAAGTGCACATCTTTTGTATAACCTAATTTCCAAGTCACTTAAATAACATGTGGAATTTATGGACTCGAGATGATAAGAAAGTAGTAAACCAGATAGGAGACACACCCAAGGATAGCCACATCCAGGATCATGAATGATTCTGAGCTAAAAGCTTTTGGAAATCCTTATAATAATCATTAAATAATGTAAGAAGACAACAAATATAATGCAAAAAAGATAGGTAGTAAAATATACCATTAACTTTAAAATTATTATGATTCCTGAACATTTAAAAATGCCATTTACCCTTTTATCAATAAAAAGATTTTTTGAATATGTTCATAATAATTATTTAAAGTGAACTGTTTTACTGTGTTTTTCTCCAGAAGAAATAGACCATTTCACCCAAGAACTCTTCACAACTAAGTTTCCACGGACAACTGAATTGGCAAAGACAACTCAGGGTAATAATACTGCCCCCCCTTGGATAGTAATTTTTTTTATTGTTTGTCTTTAATCAGGAAAAAGGTTTACCTTTAAGAATGTAATTTCTCATCACAGTGAGCCATACTTCCCCCTCCCCCACACCCCCATAGGTGACACCAACCCATTTAGAGTACTTACATGCTCTTCTGTTGAATGTAGGGAAGGTAGTTTCTTTAGATGAAACTTTATGCATTCCCCATCCACCTCTTTCTCCCTTCATCTTCCTAATTTCTCCTTCTGTCCCATCTCCTCAACCTGATAAACACCCTGATATTGTAACCAAAGGAAATTAATAATAAGAATCATTTTTTAAATAGTGACTTAATATTTAAATATCCAGGAAGGTTTTCTCATGGATTTCTTCCATTTCTTTTGGGAGTGAACTCACCCATACAAAATTGATCCTTACGCTTTGAAATAATGTAGGACTGATTATTTCTGTCATTTGTCTTTCCTGTTCTAAGCTTTAAAATGTATGTGCTCTGGAATGAAGTTAAGAATCATGATATGTATTCCTATGAACCAAAGCAATCTACTTTTTTCATGAAATTAACACAAAATGCTGAAATATGTTAAATTGATAGGGAATCTAGCATTCTTAAAGAAAACATTAGCAATTACTCTCATGCTTCATTTTAGCATATGTAAGAATTGTTTTCACATCAGTTCCTTTGTTTACTTGATTATTAAACTTTGAAAGTTCTAAGTTAAACCTAGAGAGCATGTGTCTGTTCTTGGACCCAAGTCTGGCAAAACCTTCCTCATCAGTTTTTACACTAGAAGATTATAAATGAGCTACATTATAATCTTTTTGTAGGTGTATGTATTTTTTTTTAGCTTGATAGAGAAATCATTGTTGATTTATGATTGTATAAATAACTACTCAAGATGTGATCGAGATGATCAAAATGATGTAATCTACTTCATGCTTGAACAAATTTTTTTTTCCCCAGTATTAGTAAAGCATTGCCAAGAAAGTCAGTGGCAGGTGCTAATGTGCAATGTTAAGGAAGACAGGAGGGAAGGGAAAGATGGATGAATTCCAGGATGAAATACACATATACTTTAAAACCTTTGGAAGCAAAATATTTTGAGTGTGTCATGAATTTGCCTGCTACAGTGGTTGTTCACTTCTTAACGTATACAACTAGTCTCCATCAGGAGAGCTCTTTGGGCCAGGACCTGTATAACGGGAGCAGAAAGTGAGAAGGTGGATGGCACCTTGGCCCAGGACTTGTCGGATCGTTGGCTTCTTGTTCATCTTCTTGGTGGGCAGAGCACCTGAGATCACTTTCTCACATCCCTCAGCTTGATGGATGGCACGGAGAGAGTATTTATTTATCAGGGTTCGTGAACTAATTTGAAAGAACAACATATTCTTACTTTTTGTTCTTGCCTTTCTGAAATTATTTTTCTTTTTGCCTTTAACATTTCTTTCTTTATTTTTTATTTTTTAAAAATTTATTTGTGCATACAGAACTGGGATATAGGCCAGAGGCTCAGGGGCGGTGAGAGGATTCACCAGAGACAGAGTGTGGAGCATAACAGGCAGATCTACGAAGTACACTGCTGAGGGGAGCAGCAGGCGGGTCAGGAGAGGTCTGCCATGCCATGTGGTCACCTCCGTGGCAGGCGGGAATCGAACTCATGAGGAAGTGGCTTTAGCTTCTCAGTGTTGTACTTTAACCCACTGCGCCACCAGGGAGGGCCGCCTTTAACATTTCTTAATTACCAAAATAATGTTTGATAGTGACTCCCTAAGAGATATATATGGACAGACGGACATACAGATGGACAGGTAAAGATGGTTGACTTGTATATTTACCATGTTATATAAGCACATGGTAAAATTAATGCCTTTGAAAAACATGGGCTAAATGATGACTTATCCTTAGCACACATTACAAATTACCTACCTCATTTTGTGTATATATTTAATTTCCATCCATAAATATTTTCATTTTTTCTTCCTCTAGCATTAATGCTTGAATGCGTAATTGGAGGTTTCAGAAAACACTTTCTGCTTCCATGCAAAGTATACAAGCTGTTGGTCCCAGAGCTGTGAAGTCTACAATTAGGGGGATTTGGAGTATTGTCTATTAAATATGAAGTATTTCCTCTGTTTTAGCACCACACAGACTGTACACTACTCCTGTGAGGCCCAGAACACCTGAAAAACCGCACAGACCCGGTAAGACATACCTTCTGATAACCTACAGAAACAGCACATCTAGCAAGATATAAAATACATTGAAACAACCAAAGAAACAAAAAGAGATGTATATTCTTAAACTGAATATTTTTAGGTAAACATAAAGGACTTACGGAAAATCTGACCCTTGTAGATAGGTGGAAAAAGTAATGATAAATCCATTGATAGACTTGATAGAGGGGGGTAATTAAGCTGCAGAGACCACTATGGAGCATCATCAATATAAAAGTATTTTTTAGGCAGTGGTGATGCCTACATCACACATCTTTTCAATTTTTCATGTCATTTAGGGTTACCATATCTATTTGTGATGTGATTATTCTTGTAAATACTGCATATTTCTTTTAAAAGATGGCCTCTTCTAAGCATAAGTGTTTTGTTCCCATAGAAGTTTTTTGCTTGATTCAGATAATTAAAATAAAATTTAATAGGTTGCAAACAATTTAAAAGTGATAATTATAGAGTGGAGTATACTTTGAATCTACTAAATTCTCCAAAGTCCCTGAAATCTTCCTCATTGGAGCTTGTTAGTGAAAAATTATCTTCCCAGGGTTGTAAGTAGCTCCTGTGCTAAAAAACAAGTTGGACCAAAGACTGGTATTTTCTGCTCCATTTTTGCTATGATTCTAGGAGTTATAAATTATAACATTAGCTTATAAAATGACTTTTGTTGGTGAACATCTTTGCAGGCACATGGAAGAAAGAACAAATAATAATTTTCATATCCTTAGGTTCATGGAATACTTATGTATATATGTGTGTCCATATATATGTGTATATATATATATGAAGTGTATGTGTATGTGCATATATGTGTGTATGCAAGTTTATATGTGTACAGGCGGTAATTTTCCAACTCTTTTTGTGCCATCCATCCATAAAGGTAATTAGGAACTTTATTAAAAAGAAATCTTTTGCCTCATGATAGCTATTGAGAGTTTAATATGTGGGTAATTAAACATTTCTACAAAATGAACAAGTAACAGTGATGGCAAACATTAACTTAGCATTGATCATGTGTCTTGTAAGAAGGCATTCGAAGAATTACAAAGTAGTTTGAAACAAGCAATGCTCCATAGCTTACTCTCTTAGCCATATACTTTTAATGCTTTTCCTTAGGATTTTTTTTTAACTTTTATTCCTTTTATTTTAAATTTAACTTACTCCCTGGCCATAAGTTTTTGTTCAATTTCTTCTGGGATTTTTTTTTTTTTCCTTCTGTGCATCCTCCTCTTCTGGTTTAGGGGCAATCTGCTTTTTTTCAGTAAGGATCATCTTGATGTAGCAGGGGGAGTCATGTATAGGTTAAACCAACCATGAGCTTTGTAAGTTCTGCAGTGCATCTTAGGGGCTTTGTTCACCTGGATGTTCTCAATGAACAGAGAATCTATATCTATATCTAGACTCTTAAGTTCATCATTACTCTCTGCATTTTTAAGCATGTGCAGTAATAATTCAACACTTTTGGGGCCAACAACCCTGCATTCAACTCCACTGTTTGGCCTGGCCACACCTTCCAGTGCCACCATTGTAATGACAGAATGGCACACAATGCTTCTGTAGAGTGAAGTCCTTTAGATTCTTGGTGGCTTTTTGGATATGCATACCCTTGATGGCCTGGGCAGTTTCACGAGTGTTCTTAAAATGAAAACAGAGATTTGAACCTCTTGATTTGCATGACTTTGTAGGATTTTCTGGATCAAGTGAGTAGTGAACTATTTTCAAAGATGACTAAGGCCGCTCACAGGAAGAGGAGCTCCTTGAGGAATTTTCTAAATGGAGGATAATATAGGTGATTGCTCAAAATTTTGCAAATGCTATGACCCTAAATAGGGGAAATTGAGTAGTTTCATCATCTTCTGTGTTCAGTAATGAACTTGTGCCAAGTTTATAAAGGAAAAGCTTTAGCTATGGACCTTGCAAAGCAAAACCAAATTGAGTTATGAATTAAGGCCTTGACAAATAAATACACTTTAAATTTTGATTTGTCATGGGACATATGAAAGACCGGTCTTCATTTTCATTTCGGAAGGTATATAGTGCTTCTAGATGAAGCAAGGTATTTCTCATTTAAGAACATAACTTAATTTGCCAGTTATTTTTTTCAGTCCTGGTGATCACTCAAAGTACAAACCCAGATTTCTCTTTACAAATTCAAGTCATTTTTTTTTTAAGATTTATTTATTTGTACATACAGAACTGGGGTACAGGCCAGAGGCTCAGGGGCGGTGAGAGGCTTCACCAGAGACAGAGTGGGGAGCAGAACAGGCAGATCGACGAAGTACACTGCTGAGGGGAGCAGCGGGGGGGCCAGGAGAGGTCTGCCACGCCATGTGGTCACCTCCGTGGCAGGCGGGAATCGAACTCATGTGGAAGTGGCTCTAGCTTCTCAGTGCTGTGCTTTAACCCACTGCGCCACCAGGGAGGGCCCTCAAGTCAATGATTTTTATCCCAGAATTCTGGTTTCTACATTCTGAACAATGTTTTTATAAGCATCACTTGTTTAGTGCCCAGTTAAATGATTTTGAACATTATGGAAATATTTGTTTTCTTTGCAAATTTTAGTCAAAAGTTGTCTGAAGTATTTATTTCTCATTTTCATTTTAGTTCTGAATAAGACAATTACCAGGCCTGGTAGACCAAAGCCCAGTGGGACACCAAAAGGCAATGGAATGGAATCAGGTAATCACTGCATTTTATTACTTTTTTTTATTCTATCAAAACTATAAATGTTTTTATTCAGCTTTTATCATTCTGTTGAATTTATACTTCTGTGTCTTAATTACCAATTTTTGAAGTTTCCTAGTAAAAATAAAATTGAAAGTTTTTGTTCTTCTCAGTCAATAAAGGTGTCTCTGAAAGCATTAAGTTTTTGCTTTTCTAAACCTAGTCTACTAAATCAGCTACCTATACAGTTTTGATTATTAAAATTAAGGAAAACAACCAAAGAAACAAAAAGAGATGTATATTCTTAAACTGAATATTTTTAGGTAAACATAAAGGATTTACGGAAAATCTGACCCTTGTAGATAGGTGGAAAAAGTAATGATAAATCCATTGATAGACTTGATAGAGGGGGGTAATTAAGCTGCAGACCACTAGGGAGCATCATCAATATAAAAGTATTTTTTAGGCAGTGGTGATGCCTACATCACACATCTTTTCAATTTTTCATGTC